TTCAATGATTCTTGCCTTCCTCATGAAACTAGAAACTTAATTTACCATCACAAGTTAATTATGATGTTTATAATACTCTGAAAACTTCTGGAGGAGTTGCATTCCCCTGCTGAATGTGTAAACTGTCTAATAATATGTAAACTATCTTATTATATACCTCCGACTATTTCTTAAAGATCTGCAGTGTTTGATGTAAAATATCTGCTTTAATAGTTTCAAGAAATACTTATTGTAGTATTTGCATATGTATAGTGGTTTAAATATAATTGACTGCGTGAAAAAATACTTTAGTCATCATTTGGGTGTGATGATTCATTGATATTATGAAAAGAAAACTCCAATGAAAATTCTGTTGTTGACCAAATTACATTGACGCATACTTGACAACCCTATCAGTTTAAGCTGTAAGCTGCTGATTCTTAAACCGCCTTTCTACACAGTGAATCTTTAAAGCTAGTGATACCACTTTAGAAACACATTTTATCCAGTAAAAGTCTTTCAAAATTCGCAGCCTCCCACAAATCGTAGGATTGGAAAGTACTGTATGTTGATGTTGTTAATAATTTTCTATTATATACTGTACATAGCATTCATACAAAAAATATGTTGTCTTTGCAACTTCGGTCTATGTGTAACTGATCATAAAAAATTATGGGACCAGGAACATGCTCAGTATAAATAGTTTTAAAATGTTCCATAAATATGATATATACTATGTGGTAACTTGACATTGTGAATGTGACAGTTTTTATCAGAAAAAAATCTGACATTGGTATTCCCCAGATCAGCAGGGGAATGCATCTCTTCCAGAAGTACAGAGTGAAGACATTTTAGAGTTTATAGGCTTCGTTGTAAACGTGAATTTGTGGGTGCTCGCTGACATCACTTTTCCCTGCGGCCTGTGTCGGCTACATGTCAGATACAGTGAGGGAAAAAAATATTTGATCCCCTGCTGATTTTGTACGTTTGCCCACTGACAAAGAAATGATCAGTCTATAATTTTAATGGTAGGTTCATTTGAACAGTGAGAGACAGAATAACAACAACAAAATCCAGAAAAACGCATGTCAGTGATGTTACAAATTGATTTGCATTTTAATGAAGGAAATAAGTATTTGACCCCCTCTCAATCAGAAAGATTTCTGGCTCCCAGGTGTCTTTTATACAGGTAACGAGCTGAGATTAGGAGCACACTCTTAAAGGGAGTGCTCCTAATCTCAGCTTGTTACCTGTATAAAAGACACCTGTCCACAGAAAAAATCAATCAATCAGATTACAAACTCTCCACCATGGCCAAGACCAAAGAGCTCTCCACGGATGTCAGGGACAAGATTGTTGACCTACACAAGGCTGGAATGGGCTACAAGACCATTGCCAAGCAGCTTGGTGAGAAGGTGACAACAGTTGGTGCGATTATTCGCAAATGGAAGAAACACAAAAGAACTGTCAATCTCCCTCGGCCTGGGGCTCCATGCAAGATCCCACCTCGTGGAGTTGCACAGGAGGATCCTGTCAGGCAGCTGGGACCATAGTCACCACGAAAACAATTGGTAACACACTATACCGTGAAGGACTGAAATCCTGCAGCGCCCGCAAGGTCCCCCTGCTCATCTGAAGTTTTCCAATGAACATCTGAATGATTCCGAGGACAACTGGGTGAAAGTGTTGTGGTCAGATGAGACTAAAATGGAGCTCTTTGGCATCAACTTAACTCACGGTGTTTGGAGGAGGAGGAGTAATGCTGCCTATGACCCCAAGAACACCATCACCACCGTTAAACATGGAGGTGGAAACATTATGCTTTGGGGGTGTTTTTCTGCTAAGGGGACAGGATAACTTCACCGCATCAAAGGGACTATGGACGGAGCCATGTACCGTCAAATCTTGGGTGAGAACCTCCTTCCCTCAGCCAGGACATTGAAAATGGGTCGTGGATGGGTATTCCACCATGACAATGACCCAAAACACACGTCCAAGGCAACAAAGGAGTGGCTCAAGAAGAAGCACATTAAGGTCCTGGAGTGGCCAGCCAGTCTCCAGACCTTAATCCCATAGAAAATCTGTGGAGGGAGCTGAAGGTTCGAGTTGCCAAACGTCAGCCTCGAAACCTTAATGACTTGGAGAAGATCTGCAAAGAGGAGTGGGACAAAATCCCTCCTGAGATGTGTGCAAACCTGGTGGCCAACTACAATAAACGTCTGACCTCTGTGATTGCCAAGAAGGGTTTTGCCACAAATTACTAAGTCATGTTTTGCAGAGGGGTCAAATACTTATTTCCCTCATTAAAATGCACATCCATTTATAACATTTGTGACATGCGTTTTTCTGGATTTTTTTTGTTATTCTGTCTCTCACTGTTCAAATAAACCTACCATTAAAATTATAGACTGATCATTTCTTTGTCAGTAGTACAGTAGTACAAAATCAGCAGGGGATCAAATACTTTTTTCCCTCACTGTATTTGTCTCCGTATGTATTGCTCGCATTGAGTGGAGTGGTCACGCATTGGTTCACGAACCCGGACACCTGGGCTTCCCCTAGGTTGATTCAGCCTCAAATGGGTACCTCGTGTGGTATGTAAATATCATCATACCTTGGTGTGGTGCCAGCTATACCACCCCCTCGTGCACTATGCTGGCCTGCATGCAGGTGCTTGCTAACAGAACACTTGCCCCAACAGCCTGAAAAGGCAATATGATGGATTTCTGTCTTCTATTACTTTGTATGCTTCATTTGTCATACATTTACAATATACACATTGGGTTTTCTGGGTAATTTGAATATTTTGATCAACTCAATCATCCAAGCACTTCAGATAAACTAGTAGAAATGTGCACACATGCTGGAGTGTAAATGGCCAATGCTGAGAGATGGGTTAAGTGTGATCGGTATATTCGGAGGGCAGCTGTGGTTGATTTCTTCGAAGGGGGTTTGTTTATTTAAAAACCACAAATTAACATAAACATGTTGTCTTTTCATTTTTCAATCATTCTTCCCATTAATTGTGTTTCAATTGATGCCATGATTTGAAACCGACTTTTCACCGATGCTTTTTGTTAATTTACTCGATTTATAAATTCAAAGGCATTAGTAATAATTGCTTGACATATAAAAAAAAATCAGCAATATATTAATAGGCAATATATTAATAGGCCTCTGCATAATGCGTTCCATTGAATAAATATGCTGTAAATTCCGTTTCTTATCTGCCAGTGTAACACCTAGCTTTACCACCACGAAAATGATAGATATATTATCCCACATATCATAAATGTAATGGCCAACGGCGAGCTGGCTGTTAAGTTATGACCTATGACCTTTTGGCCTGAAAATCAATACGAGACAAGATATAGTGGTTTTGTACCACCCGTTACGATTTTGTCAAGATTGGTCGAACGACTTTATACATCTTGAGTACAGACAGACAAAGGGTTGATTACTCACTGCCCTTTACATTGATGTACAGTAAGAGCTATAATGCGTAGATGCTAATACACACGTTACAAAGAAAGACTCTCTAATGTATATATGTTATATACATGTATAAACGCACGTGGGAATTTGCTGAATGCATACAACATTAAAAACCTTTTTTTGAGAGGATATGTCTCTAGAGAAGTTGAAAATGACATGTGCAAATGAAATATATAGTTCAATGCCATGCAATAATTGTAATAGGTGTCATATTATGATGAAAAAGGAAAGTCATGCATTTTGACTGAATTTTTTGCCAATTTATTTGCAAAATATAAACTATAATGCCGTCATAATCCTAGTTGCTACTGTTGTTTGTAATCTTTAACATGGATGTAGGTGCTAATCAAGGCAAATACATTCGCAAATTATTATACATATGGAAAATACAGGTTTACAGAATTCCTAAAAATATGATTATTCCTTAGACGTATATGGCAATATGCATGCAGGCATGGCTGGTAGTACAATGAAACACGAATAACAAAATGCACCTTAGCAGGGGTTTGGAAATGAAGAACACATGCAGTGTGCACAAATAAGGAACACACGCTTGCATCCATAGATACTGAACCACAGCCAATGTAATGCAGAGAAATAAACGTGTGGCCTTGGGTTATTGCTAAGACACATTCGTTTTGTCATAGTTTGTTTCATATGGGGAAAAAACCCCGTAAATAAATTGTAGGGCATTCAGTTGAGCGTATTCATGATTGATTGTAATCTTTAAGTTAAACATTGGATAAATAAAACATTTACATTGCAGATTGTGCAAATGTTACATTCAAAGAAATCCACAGGAATTACGTTTTATGTTTTTTGCTTATTGCGGAAATGCAAATTTGCCAGCACACTAATTAGTGTGGATTATGAAGTGATTGCATTTAAATTGTATAACGTATAGGAATATGTACAGGTGATGAATCAAATGAAAATACAATAGTTTATATTTATTCTGCAATATAGTGGTTTAAAGATGCATGCTTAATTATCAATAAATAAATAAATATTCGTGGTATTAGAACAGTAGAGGGACGGTGTCGTTATTAGCGTACTGTGCAATGAAGCCAACAGCCTAAGTTCGATTCCTAGCCACGGCTCACATCAGTGCCAAGTTATATATGAACCAGTCATGGGGGGCCCTCCTTCAACCGTTTGCACTGACCAGCGTGGTGAAGTATGGCCAAACAACCCCCTCAACCAACCTGAAGTGGGGAGGCTTTCAGCTTACAGTGGATTGAAATAAGGGCATAAATGAAGCGTTAGTGTTTAGTTAATCTCATTGTTCTCATAACAATAGGATCATGTTGAAATATAATGTTTACTCACGTGGAAAAAAAAACACCTCAGACATCATCGTCATGTTTACATGAAATGTTTTAATGGTTAACATAATCGATTTATTTATACTCAAAAATCTTGAAATTCACATCAACGCGATCACTATTCCCGGTGCGTGTACCTCTTGAGATGTATGACCATGCCTTTTCAGTGCTATAAATAATCATCTTATCTCATTGCTGCAGGTCATAGAGATTAATTTTGAAGAATTCGATCTGGAAAGGGGATTTGACACCCTGACGGTCGGCGATGGTGAGGAAGTAGGTGATCCCAGAATGGTGCTGCACGTGTAAGTATTGGATTACATATTCCTTACGGAAAGTCCTATCAGTGGAGCTGAAAGCAAACCAACACACACACACATACACACATTCATGCACGTATCTGCACATGCGTTTTCTGTTTTCTTGCTTATGGATATACTGTATAAATATATGTATTGTTTAGTTTGTGAATATATGTAATGGTTCAAAGTGTATATATGCAATGAGAGGCTAATATATCTGTAATTGCTCAAGTCAGTTTTATCCTTATTTTGCATAGAATGATGATCAAGGCATTATCTATGATTGAGGGTTTTTTTTCTGTGTAAATGTTTAGTATGCAGGTGAACTAATTTTGTTTCAACAATTGATCTTGCTTTTTTTATGATGTTGATAGCTTTGCAATCTGGTCCAGGACCTTTCCACTTTTTTATGCTGTGATGGGGCAGAGTTTTTCTTATAAAGGTGTGACATCTGGAACACTTTGTCTTCATAGGAAAACAGCTGGAAACTCTTGACAAAGATCATTGGATTGCACTTGCCAGGTTTAGAAAAGGGGTTTCTACCATGGTTCACATGCCTACTATCAATGAGTTTATGCAAATGACAAGGAGATATAAAATACTATTATGCCTATCTGTTATAGATGATGAAAATGAATAAGTCTTGGTGGTAATGGGTGCAGTCAAAAAACTTGTCACAAATCAAGGACTAATAAAACACACGAATATTTATTAATAAAGAACGGTTTACAAAGCTCAATCGGCTACACTAAAATTCCATAAAAAGTAATAACATTCAAATAGTCCAATGGGGTTTCAGAGAAGGAGAGATATTTTATCTAAGGTTTTCACACCAACATTCAAATATTTTTTGGGTAAAAGTTAATTTGGAGATGTAAACACATAAATATGAATAACAAATGAATAATATTTGTCAGTGTTACAGTCATTATAGCAGCCAATGGGAACTATCAGAAGTAAATGAAAGAATAACTTAAGATAATGGAAAATTTGTTATTTTGAGAAAAAACAACCACCATCTACGCTCAACAAACGAAGATATCTGGTGGAGGGATACCACTGGAAATTACATCAGAGTGTGTATGCCTAGGCCGTTTGTTGAAGGCTGACTGGGAACAACATGATCAAATAAAGGGGTGATGTGGAGCAGGTTTGAGCGCTTGTGGACAAATGAGCTTAATAATGAACAGCAAAATACCGAAATTGACTAAGGAAATGGAATAACACGTGAAAAATACACACACAAAGGCAATGGCGAGGTGCATGCTCGGAATGACACTGAGAGGCAGAATGAGGAACACACCGAATAGGATCAGGCGGTAGTGGTGCACGCCTGTAATCCATCACCGTGGAGACGAGGGTTGGTGTTTCGCACAAATGTTGCGAAGAGACACCCCTCTGCGAGGTGCCACACCATGGCTTTTCAGGAAAAGGTGGTACACCAAAGTGTGAATTAATCTCCATCTGTCCCTTCTTTATGGGATAGAGTGTGGCCTCCTCGCATGCACAGCTTTTCTTTGGGTATTCCAGTTTCCTCCCACACGTCTCTTGAATTGGCTGAAAAGATTGTAATATACTGTATAGAAGACCACAGAGCTTTCACAGTTGTTGGTGATTGCTCACCGCCTGACTGCCTTGCTGCTTGTCTCTGGTTCCTCAGCGATTGTGATATGACATTTGCATGAACAATGCAATATTAAAAAAGTCAACAAAAAATAACTCCTCCGAAAACAAAATACATGAGAGATATTAAGTGGGTTTGGGCAGGACATGATAGTTGATGGCAGTGTGGCTGGTGGTTCAGGCTTATGAGAGTGACATCCAAAGGAGGGAACATGTCTCAGATGATGTCCAGCCATGAGATGATTGCCGGGTTTGTTTTCAGGAACTAGATTGATTCTTACATAGAAAAGACAAGTATGAGACGGTGGGAACTTGGGAAGACCTTCATCCAGCGATGAATACATCCTGGATGATGGTGATGACGAAGAGTTCACATATATAACATTCATGCAAAAAAATATATGAAATATAAAAAGTCAGTAGGCTCGTTTCATTGAATATACATTTTACACTATTGTGGAATTCCGGCATTATGCAGAGATACTGCAAAAGCGTTTCCACTTAAATCACAATGCAGTTTTTTGGCCATATTCTGGAACAAAAAAGTTGTAATTCTACCAAAAAAGGGATAGCCAAACGATCTCAACGAACTGGCCAAAAAAGATGATGAATTGGGTGCATTGTCTTCCTGCTCACGTGAGCGTTTGGTGGTGCTCACGTTTTACAAATACAGATGTCTCCACAATGTTACATCATGCTCCGGATACCACCACTATCTTGCTTCGTGCAAAAATACAGAGGGAAAATTAATGAGTTGATGGCAGATATGCATCCCCTTCAATACATTAAAGGCGTAGCACGTCTATATCGAACAATGTAACATCCAACCGCTGAGCCACATCTCTTTTCCTTGCTTCTATTGCAATGGTGAGTAAGAGTGTTCACATTGATGCTCTTTAATCCAATTAAATGTTGATTGGCCCTAAAGCATCTCGATGGAATCTTCGGTCCGTTTGTCAAAACGCAACGCTCGCCACTTTTTTTGCCCGCAGGCGACTCGATCACATGCCCGGCCACACTGCCGGGAAATCGCAATCGGATCGGGGCTCATCGTTCAGAGATCTCACCCGTGCACCGTCACACCTTGCCTCCCCAATCCCTGTTGCTTGCAGGTTGACAGGCACGAGTGTGCCTGACCTCGTGGTGAGCATGACAGGCCACATGTGGCTGCATCTGCAGACAGACGACAGCGCCGGTTCGCTGGGCTTCAAGATCATCTACCGAGGTGAGGCCGCCCAATCCCGCTCCCTTGGAGCCCAACGATTACCACGGCAGCACAATGGCACATGCGAAATGGGCAATGTATTAGTCACTGGGCACAATCATTCGGCATCAATGGCTCTCGATTTCTCCTCGTCATTTCGTATAAGTGTCCGGTTAGGCATACAAAACTGGTTCGGAAGAGAGACGTTAGATCAATGGCTATCTAATGTATTACAAATTGACGTGCAATGTATCTGACTGAGAAATGCTTTCATATATTTATTTAAGTTACTGCGATCTGCTGTGGATGTGTATGCAATTAGTCTATTTTGTAACATATTTAGATGCGGATAAATAATAATGATGACATATTATTACAATTTTCTACCTTTATGCTTTATATCATTACAATTAAGTGAAATAACAGTAGTATTTCTCTATGCTGTCATTTTTAGCACTCTTGGTAAACTCACTGGCTTGTCATTATTAACATACAAATATTAGTATTAATGTGTGTGTGTTGGCTAAAGGAAATTCAGCCATATGCAATAAATACATATGCGTATGCTGATATACACGCACTCGTACAAGCACACGTTAGAAATATTAAACAAAGCACATTTAAAGCCCCGTTGAACCCAGCAGTGAGTTCTGGTGTATTGATGTTTGTTAACTAAATTTGTAGGTAATAGGTCACGGCTGGGTCCTTTGGGATCTAGAGCCATTGAAATCCACTTCTGTTATAAGGGTGACTGGCAGGGATGATTGGAGTATTGATTGATGAATTAGAAACTGGCCAATCGGGCATTTATTGGGAACGTACCAACACTCAAGAGATGATCGGACTTGGAATGAGACCTTCTGGGGCCACGAATGTTCACTTTATGTGCAGTAAAAAAGCAATACGTGTGAATTCACAGTTCTTGTTATTGTAAAGTCAAGTTTACCGGTAGATTAAAATTAAGGATCTGAGAAACGAATATTCTATGTAATACCAACTACTGCATTTGCACTATTGTGCATGAGCAAAAAGACAAAACGACATGTCAAATTGTGCCAACACTTAAATGATAGAATACAGTACATTGATAATTTGTTTTTTTGTTAAGGCAACACTTTCTCTTTAAACATATTACAAAGCTATTATTGATTCAGGCTTATGTCATAGTGTCTCCCTTGCAAATGAGCAATGGCGCTCATCTAGCATGACTCAGCACCAGTGGTGGAAATTCCTCGTTGCCATTATTGGGCCAGTCTTCCAAAGATGTTGTTTACTATGGAGGTGTAGCCAACCGATTAGCGCCGTTGGCTATGTACGCTGTGAAAGAAGTTCAACATACATATAAATATGCTTTTTTGAGTTACATAATATTTCAGCTGATGGATGTGTGCATTGTTTATGCTCTAAGTGAAAGAGCAGGTTTTTTTTTATGTCAGTACAACCAGAGAGACATAGTGGTCATTAAACATGCATTAATTATTGATTTTGACTTTTGACTCAAATTAGTGAATGGGATTCATAATGTTTTTAAAGAGCAGATCTAGCTGATGCAGCCAGCCACTGAATTTCTGGGTGCACTACCTGAGGAAGCTGTTGGTGTGACACTTTGTCGTGTGTTGGTGTTAAAATTCAGCCATCACAAGTCTTAGCCACCGGTATGGAGCTAAATTGGTCAGCATTTGATCAATACACTGGCACGTGTAAATAATACCTTCGAAAACATGGACATCTCGTCAGGTGGTGGAAGGTGACTGACGGGAATGTTAGCATAAAACTCCAATGCTGCCTTGCCCCAAAAAATAATGTAGATCATTGTATTGGCTACGGAAACCAAAGTTTTAAGTTAACCCTGGAATACCATAAGATAAAGTAAATAAACCTTTCTACACACATGCTGTAAACCAAGCAATGGGTATGTTCTACTGTGGGTGTAGATGTGTTTGTCGCTGTTAAGCCACGACAAAAATCTCGCATTATAGAACCCCATAACACTAAAGTCAGCAGTAGCTATAAATTGAAAATCTGGGAGGTGGTATGGGAGTTGACCTGTGCCACACATATCACACTACAGGGAGCCTTCACGTATTTCTATTTTTATGCCCGATTAAGTCAGCACACACACACACACCACTTCCATCATGGCTGGATCTAGACTCCATTTACTGTGGGTACAATGATCTATTATGGGTCTTTAATATTACCCCATGCCAGGTGTGGCCAATGTGGGCCAGTCTCGAGTGGCTGCGTGACAGTGTATTCAATTACCTCTATTAGTCAGACCCGATGTGGGTAGTTTTAAAACCTTTTTGCCTATCACTTTTCCCACACAAAAAAAACGGTGACTGAAATCAGCCCTGACATCCCTGATAATTTCTGTATTAGTATATATTTTATATATCCATATATAAACCTTTGCGATAATAATAATAAACTGTTGCTGCTAAAAGCATTGTATACCTGATAGAATGTATCCTGCACAAATGCGTTTTCACCACTTTGGAAACAGTCTTCGGATGCCCGAGTGACCATAATTCCCCTGACAAGCCCGTTTCACACCGTGAATAAAGAGCAATATTTAAGGCCTTTAGAGTTAAATGACATAATTAGAGCAATTCCAATGTTAACGTGAAACACTATGCATTCATTACACATTTCAAATTTTACATTACGTATGATTCCTTCATTATGGCTCTGATACGAATTTCTTATCCCTGTCATAGCTGCAGAAAATTCTAATAGAAGTGTGTTTTATTAGTATTTATTTTTACATCACTGCAAGCGATGTATTTTATTAATGATCATTATAACAAAAAAGAAAACCCAACCTTATGTGAAAATACTGTTAGCTGTTAAGGGAAAAAAACAGATGAAAGACAGAGGTCATTGGCAAAGACATATTGTTCAATGGCACAGTAACTGCTGCGTTAACAGTGTTCAGAATATTAAAGCAATTGTGTGAGAAAAATCAGCACCTCGTGTGTACATCAATCAGTCATTTCTGGTAGGTAATTAAGAGTAGAATGAATGACCTTGTTTTTCGGAGTTGACATTTTATTTCAAAAGAAATTGAAGGAAGATACCTCTCTGATTGCAGTCAAATTAGGGCAAGCCCGATGTAGTCGCATTTATTAATTTATTTCAGATGCCTTTAATATGCATGCGTCGTGTATCGTGATGTGTTCTCGTTGTTTGAGGGCTGTAGATACTGCACAATCATTAAGCCAATGAAAACTCGTTAATTTGTTCCACCCTTTGCTGCGGGTCGGGTTTGAGGGCTTCATGGTGGGGCTCACTCTCACCCCCAAGTTTAGAACTCGTTGGCGTCACACTATGTTCAATCCGGAAATATATTTTAAGCATTTGCTATATTTGCAACTATAGAGTGCCATTATTCGTGAGGAACTACAGTGAGGGAAAAAAAAGTATTTGATCCCCTGCTGATTTTGTACGTTTGCCCACTGACAAAGAAATGATCAGTCTATAATTTTAATGGTAGGTTTATTTGAACAGTGAGAGACAGAATAACAACAAATAAATCCAGAAAAACGTATGTCAAAAATGTTATGAATTGATTTGCATTTTAATGAGAGAAATAAGTATTTGACCCCTCTGCAAAACATGACTTTGTACTTTGTGGCAAAACCATTGTTGGTAATCACAGAGGTCAGACGTTTCTTGTAGTTGGCCACCAGGTTTGCACACTCCTCTTTGCAGATCTTCTCGAAGTCATTAAGGTTTCGAGGCTGACGTTTGGCAACTCGAACCTTCAGCTGTTGTTATTCTGTCTCTCACTGTTCAAATAAACCTACCATTAAAATTATAGACTGATCATTTCTTTGTCAGTGGGCAAACGTACAAAATCAGCAGGGCATCAAATACTTGTTTCCCTCACTGTATCACTGTGTCCATTAAAAACACAAATTGAAGTACTGCAAAAATTAAATTACTAGGTTCTGCTTCTGTTATGATGAACAACAACATAGCTAACCCAGGCTTTCTACAAAACAATTACACACAAACGCGTGCATTTGTGTGTTAGTTTCAACCAACCCTGAGCCTACATTATACTATATTTAAATTCGTAATGTTTATGCTGTTTATCATTTCAGTATGCATATGCAGTCTATATGTACTCTAATAAAAAGCAATTGAGGAAGCTGTGGAATTAATCAGTCGTGGACCCACCACTCTGCAAAGTGGTGGGTTTGCTAATATAATGAGCACGGCTGCATGTAAGTTATACATTAGTCTATTTCGCACATACATTAATCATTGTTTCAGAAAAGTATTTTTTCTCATTTTACCAGAAAAGCCTTTACAATTCTGGTCGTGATGATTCTTGTTCGGGCAATAAATTGGACACAGAAAATTACACTTATTGCGACGTTGCTAACAAAGCTTTCATCGCCACTGTATTTATGTTAACAATTTGATGTTGGCAGCGTTACTGGTTTATTTTGATGTGACCTGTGCATTATTTAATTATGCTGCTGTATACAGCACGTATTTATTTCCCCAACAATAAGAGTAATGCGGTTGGCGGCAGAAGAAAAAAATTGTATCTGCCTTGCTGCGGTCTGTGGCACGAAAACCCTCGTAATGAGCAGCTGACAGTAACAGATGTAGCTGCACCACATGTATCACGCTCTGCCTGCCACCGACAGCAGTGTGCTAACTCAGGACAGCAGGTGCATTGGTAACACGCAATTTGTCAGAGTGTGGCAGAGCATGGCTGGATTTCTACCCCACCCTCCCACTCAGCTACTTGGCTTGAACTTGAGTCCTCTGCCATTATACTTTGCCGTGCTGAATACAATTAAAAATAACAAGCAATAACAGTTTGAAGTGTTTCGTGGCACACCGTGTTTCCACAAATGCATGGCTAATCGTGTGCGTTTATAATACTTTGGAAATAATCATTAAAACACATTTTGCTCAGCTATTGCTAAATTGAATGCACCATCTCAACTTAATTAAATGACTATCTATAGCTGATAATCAACATTTTCAGAATGAAGTGCATTCATTACTGCTTATTGTAAGTGTGTTTTTTATCACCTGTTTGCAGCTCACATTCGAATCATATTATAAACTCATGTCTGTTTGTGAAAATAGAATATATTTAGATACAATGTAATGCTTTGTTTAAAAATGCAATCACTATGGCAGACGTAAAGACGTTAAAATATTATTTTAAAAACTGCAATTTCTTCATAAATACTGACTGAATGAAATCATAGTTTAATGTAGTATCACTAAAATACGGCTTTAATGGATTTTTCACAAACATAATAGGCATGTCCCTTGAGTATTGCGTTAAGTAAAAATGTTCTTTTAAAGGTCCTTTACGACATTGCTTACACGAGCCAAGCTGATTCCCAACAGTACCATCTGCCTTGAAGACAGAGGCCACGTTTAACGACTGCACAGATTGATTCATGCTACGTGCTTAAATGGTCACGAGAGAAATATGGTTCCTGGCAGTTTTTAAGCAACAAAAAACCCCGTCACTTGTTGATCAAGAAAGGTCTACACATTACATATGAACCGGTAAATGATGCCATTCTAAATCATGATTATTCATGCATGTATAGTTGAGGAAATACATTTTAAGGAGCGGTTGCTTTGGTTAATTAAAAAAAACCCGTCTACTTAATGTGTAAGTAACACAATTATCTTACTATGTTTGTAGTTTGGTTATATCTTAAGTCACTTGTGACGATGAACCATAACTATGGTGTTTGCATACTTATTTCACTTGTATTTCGTTATACATTGAATCATTTGACGTGAAACTATATATGTTAATTATAGCTTGTTTAGGCTGGGTGTGCATGCATTTTAAAGACATGTTTTAATAGAATGTAATTTGTGAGAGGGAATGACACGTTAAATGTTTTTGGTGATATTCACACTACAGTGGTTCATAGATTTTACTTGTGATTTATACATTTTGACTCAAGGGAAATAAAAAATAACATGCACAACTGATGGACAGAAATACTTATTTTCCAAATAAAATTTATACGAAATTTTACATTTTGAATATGGCTTTTTCAATAAACCTATCGTACCATCCTTTAGAGAGAGTGAAGGCTACTTGAGTTAATCAAAACTTATGCCTTGTGGAAGCAACATAGTAATTTTGAAATCATGGCCGCACATTGAATGTCACGAAACAGATTGCTTTCTTAAAAAGTTGTTTTTATGCTGCACGAAATTGCAACTTAAGCTAAGTTTGTTTGCAATAATTATGGAAAAAATAATGTTTTCCTTTTACCGTTATCCATATTGCAACAACAACTCTAAATGAATGGCTGGCAAATATTAAGCACAGGTATTGGAGCCATGTGGTTAATACACTGAACTTCCAATGTAGAGTTCACCAGGTTGATCTCCTGGCACCCAGGAGTCTAAGTGGGTACATCACAGTTAATCGATCAGCAAATCGCGTCTGGTGAGTGAATGTGTGCATGCTCTCGCCTCTTCGAGGTGACCAAATTCCCTCGAGAAATTGGCTCTGATCGAGGCCCTTCCACCAACAGTCGTGTGAGATATAAATTGGAGGGCTGTGTCTCGATCTGTACCTTTTATTGGCACCATTTCTATTATGGGTGCTTTAACTTATTCAAATATGCGTATGCATGTTGAACTTCTATCACACCGTACGTAGCCAACCATGATAATCGGAGGTAAGGGGGAAGGACAACAAATTAAACACAAAAAGCAGTTCTAAAGGAATTCGTTTTCAATTTAGAGGTATATACATATACCACTCATGAGCTTAGATAGGGCAAGTGGATATGTTGGTAGCCTTTAATACTCATAATCCAGTCTATGTTTGAAGATGGTGGCAACAAAATGTGGAACATGGAAGCCTAAAATGTGCGTGTATACTGCTGATAGTTCTTTCTCTGCAGTTCGGGAAAATTGACCTGAATTCACATTATATTCCTTAACATGAAATTAAATGAAAGCTACATAATGCACTGACAGTGTGTAACAACGTGGTTATTGTTTGATGCATATTATTCAGGTAATAATCACTCTACTTAGTAGACATTATTGTTCCTCTTCTTTGGTTATTTGGGTAAAGTCACGTAGAGAATAAAATAATAAAATAACACGAAAAAATTCTCACGACGTTTCGGCCACAACACAAGTGGCCTTCTTCAGGTGAAAGGAACAAACCTGTCGGGACGACAGAGCTTCAATGTTATTCTCATTCTACGTGACTTTCCGAAAGAACCAAAGAAGATGAATCCTTGCAGTCACGAAAGCTTTAAATCGAAAATTATTGTTCCTATAATGCTATGTTTCATTAATATCCCATCTAAACGTTTTATATACTGCCCTTTCCATTAATTATTCATCTTATACCATAGGATAGGACATACAACACGATTTCCCTGGGGAAAACAGCATGTCATGTGGTCAAAAATTTTTAAAATGTATATTAGACAAAAGATGAACATGTTTTTATATACTCATAGTGGCAGCGAAAACATTGATTAAAATCCAAGATTTATCTTGCTAGATTCAACACAATTCCAGTTTGTTGTTTGTCGATTTTTTTTTGTCAAATAAAGAAATTCAATTTTCAGATTTGCAGGCAAATAATACCAACAAAAGGTAAGTCCACATGTGTAAACAAAATCAATGTAATAGCATACTTCCCAGTGAAAAGTGTCATCCGTTTCAATGTATCAACGTAGGTATAGATTTCACAACTACACAGTAGATGTTGCCTTGTAATCTAATTGTTAACCTAATAGCATGGACGTGATTAATGTGCCTATTCCAGCTGTCATTGCGCCTACTTCTTGACAGTCAATTGATGATGGCCAATTCCACTTACAATAATAGCATTTCTCATAATTTGCTATTCTTTTGCAGCCCATTCCACAAACAAATAGGACAATTCCAACACTGCGCATGGCACGAGTGTGTGTTAGTCGATCAGCTGGTCACATGTGGTGGGGGAAAGTGACGAAATCTCCAAGAAGACTGACCAAAGTAAATTAAGACTTAAACTATTCTTGCACTATTGTATTTCATCAGGTTAGGCCCAATGAGCTCCATAGCTCTCTTTCAGAAGCGACCTGGCCACAAACGATTGGTCAACGAAGTGGCTTATCATGTGGAAATGTACAGCAGCCAAAAAACTCTGAACGCACGTTGATTCTAAATGTGGAGGAGAAAAACCGGGAGGACCCAGAGAAAAATCCACGCGACCACGGGGAGAGAGACACGCACACTCCAAATATGCAAGCGTCAGAGTCGGGATCGAACCCACGACCTCCTGTATACCAGGCGAGGTAGTTAACACCTTGAGGTTCTCTATAGAACTTCAACGAGCGGAGGCCTTTCTGCCAGCAGTGACGTGATAAAGCACTGGCAGGAATGCTCCTCCACCGTCACGAACGTCTCGCAAAACAAACACTTTGTGCTGCTTCGATCTGAACGTCTCTTCACCGAGTTAGAATTCTCTCCCGATGCTAGCCACACCGCAAATCGTCGGTAACATAGGTAGCAGGTTGGCCTCGCCGTGAAATGTGTCGGGACGGGTGCCGTACAGAGGCCGCGACGGTGTTTTTCTTTTGGCTCGCGGTGTGTGTATGCTCGCAGAGATTGCGGAGAGGAGCTGCGGAGACCCCGGGGTCCCTCAGCACGGGAGGCGGGAGGGCTCCGGCTTCTCCCACAGAGACTCGCTGACATTTGAGTGTCAGGCAGCATTTGAGCTCGTCGGGGAGAAGACCATCACCTGTCAGAGCAACAACCAGTGGTCTGCAAACGTCCCGCACTGCATTTGTAAGCATTAACTTTTGTTTAGGCAGTTTAACTATTGTCCACTTAAGTTCCAGTTTGTAAACAGGTTTTCTTTTTCCATCGCAATGCTCGACTTTGGAATTCGCTCTGATCATTTATTTTCCAAAGCTCTAATAATCTTGCTTATTTTGATACAGCGTTAACTGTTATCGGTTTCAACTTTGAGAGTGTTGTTTGTTGCTGGCCTGTGCTTGTTGCAACTTGCTGACCCGCCCCATGCAAACGTCTGTGAAAAACAACTTCATAGCTCACCGGATTCCTCCTCCAGTGTAAATCAAGATTCAAATTCTGATCTTCATGTATTGAGCAAACATGTTGCATGTTAGTTCTTATTTATCTTGAGTCCTTTGTACTTTTCCTAAATATAATATTCAGATTATTTTCAGAAATTCATTTCAACGGATGTTATTATGATTGTCATCAGCAAATCATATTCTTTTCATTATATTATATTTATGCTTTAGGTTTTCAAATCCAGTTTTCATCAACCATATTCTGTCACTGGAAATGACTATTGATCCCACTTCTAATATCTCTTTTAGTACTTTACGAAATATCATTGCAGCTGGTATACTTTTTGCAAATAGTTTTTATTCTATCTAATTCTATATTTTTAGGCCTCGACCTTGTGGGAGTTTGGATGACTCCATCATTTCCCATTAAAGTAAATACCCTTTAATCACATACTGTATAACAGCTGTGCACAATTGTCGTTGAGTTCATTTGTCTTTTTCAGATTAACACGCAGGCTTTCACGACCAATATTATGCAAAATAAAGTTTTTTTTTGGGTTAGATCATGTAAGGTATGATGTAGTTGCCGGTGATTACAATCAGCTTCATCATGCGATTTGTCTGAATTGTGATTGTTTACGTGACAAACCTTACTAATTAGCTGCGTTGGGTGGTGGTGGGGTAATGACACATTTATATTTACGCCATCTAACCCAACAAACCTTTATTCTGGGCTTTGCCAGATTCTTATTGATCATACATATGTGGTCTATGGTAGACAAACCCTTAATTAAAAGTGCTTGCTCACATGGTCGATCTCTGCATTATCCATTGTTTTGTCCCAATGGTGTTGATGAACGGACTTCACGTGTAAAAAGGGGTTAATTGGTATTTCATTATTCCAGTTAGTGTTACCACTCGTATTAAATAGAGCAATGATTGAGACATCATTCCATGAAGGAGGTATTTTTTTCTCAGCATTTAGTAAATCATTTTTATAAATACAACTGGTCCCAATCTTTTGACTTATTTTCATCACTATGAAGGACAGTGTCACCTATCCCGGCAATGCATCTGGTACTTCCACCTCTTAATTTTGTAAACCATTTTTTTTCTGGGATTTATATTTTTATCCTCTGCAGGCATCTGCATACAATGCCTCGACTCATGTTAAGTTCCTACTTCTACCATGTGTTATTGTCCCATCTTTCTCCCCATGGGCTACTGCATTGCCAATGGTCAACATCCTATTTCCAGAAATCTAATCGCAGGAATTGGCTGTGAACAAAGCTGTGCAACTCGTAGACAACAGAGAGCAATCGAGAGACTTTATTCAGAACATCGTCGGTGCTGAACCGATGGATTGGACCTGAACAAGACGATGATGATGAAGATGATGAAGATTAAGTAGATTATGGAAATGAAGGAGAAGATGATGATGATGATGCCTATAGAAGAAAATGATGAAGACGAAAATGAAGAATATGATGAAAAAGATGAAGAGGATGATGATGCAGATGAAGAAGATGTCAAAAGTATGAAGATGATGAGGAAGAAAATGAATAAGATGAAGAAATTATGAAGAAGATGAAGATGTCAAAAGTATGAAGATGATGAGGAAGAAAATGAATAAGATGAAGAAATTATGAAGAAGATGAAGGAAATGAAAAGAAGAGACTGTCCTTTTTACTGATTTCATCCCCACCCCCCCAATTATTTTAAAATATAGACGGTATTTAGCATACTATATTTGAAATTGGAAATAGTTATCTTGTATTCAATAGTATAGCCAATTAGTAATGTATATGCTAATCGTCTAAACATCTGCCCTGTCTGAAATTTATTGTTTAACCACTAAAAGTAAACATTTGTGAGAAGACTTCTTTTCTCCCAACTTAGTATCAAATGTATTGCTATTTTCACTCTTCAATATTGTCCTAAATGTCCTAAAACTTTTCAACAACATTGTTTCTTATGAAACATGATGACAGAGATGCTTCAAGGAAAGCAATATCCATGTTAAATGTACAACATTTTACAACTGTGAATACAGCAAGTGCAGTCATCCATCCATAAGAGGTATACGTTATATTTAGAAACTAATAGCAATAGCTGAACCATAAAGTCAGCAAATTACTACAGTTCATCGTTAACATCCTCAAGCTGAATTTTTTTTCTTTCAAGAACGGTCCAGGTGATGGACCAATCAAAATGTGTCAAGCAATTCCTCTCCGCGATAACTGTTGAGATTTATGAGAGTGACCGCATACATTCCCACCCACGTTGCCACACTTTGTTGACAAATCTCTCACGCAGAAAACCTCTCGCACGTGCGTGACAGAAAAATCCAAGAGCTGCGAGTTGTTGCGATGAATAAATATAATTGGAGGTCGACTTTTGCTCTGGTGCTGATCCTCAACAAAAGATGGATGGTGGCTGTTTGTCTGCCGGTGATGCAGAAACAGATTTCTTCATTTCCTAAAAATGCTCAGCAACAAAGTGACACTGTCCCTGGCGAATGTGTAAAATACTGGCAGAAGATGAAGAAGGAAAAAAAATGAATCGCCCTCTGCACACTCTCACTCGACACCTAAGCAACAGCCCTTGGAACTTCGTCTCAGCCACGCTTCGGCATGCATGCGGAAAGAGCATGGAGATGACGGAAGATTAGTCAGAACTTTCTTTATAAGACATGTGCAACTCTGTAGTGGTCTCTTTGACTTGAGGCCTCCTCTGGGGCAGGTGGAATGACCAGCGAGCATGAGGTTTTCAATCATGCTTTAATGCGTAGGTTTTTTTGATGCAGATATAGTTTAGCTACTGGAATAATTGGTGCATGGGGGTGCTAATTTTGATCCATGGGTCCCATTCGAGATGATGTTTAGATACTTTTTTCAGCAGAATCATTTGTTCCATTCTAGTTTTAACATGGCTTTTTTATATATAGTAGGCAAATACGCTCTAAGCTAAAGTTTAACTTGGAAGCTCATGTTCTTATTGGAATTATATATACACATTTATATGGGGCCGTAAAAAAGTGTATGAAGTTGTGCCAACTTCATATACTGGTTATTCGGTGGTCTCAGTATCATGTAATTTAGAAGACACTAAACGAATTACATAATATATAGGTGCTGGAACTATACTTAAACAAACTAATAAGCGGGTGCACTTTTTACTTTCCAAACTTTTTCACCGAATACATTAGGAGGTTATGTATTAGCATACATTTCCGGGGATACAGAAATATATATTCGTTATTTTGCTTTGAAGGAGTAACATGATGCTGAAAGCACTAAAATCACTCCAACTTTTCCATTTTAGTCTAGTGCGACATGGATGTAGAAAGGGCATCTGTGTTGTGCTTGAAGGAAGAAAGACATCTTTTCATGCAGATATGCAGGAGAGATATGCATTATGCTGCATCTATTCAACATGCTTTATTTTGTAGCCTAAACCATTATAGTTATAGAGGAGCGATAGCACAGACCTTATCTTCCTTGCCTGGTATGCAGGAGGTGAGGATGTTTTATCAGACGTAGATGCATGTATATTTGGAGTTAGCATGTTCTCCCCGTGGTCGTGTGGATTTTTTTCCAAGTCCTCCGGTTTTTCCCTCCACATTTAGAAACACACGTTTCGATTGTTTTGATTATTTTGCTGTTAGAAATGTCCACGTGATAAGCTACTTCGTTGAGCTACCGTTTGTGGCCAGGTCACTTCTGAAAAATAAGCGAATACTTTAGTGGCTTTTACTTTGCAAGATTAAAAAATAGTTTAGTTAACATTTTATTAATGAATAAATTCGAAAATTACTTAGTCGAATCTATGGTTACAGCTAGAAATATTGGAATATCATTTTTTTGAGATTTCAGCTCCAAAAATTGCAGCCCAGAAATTGATTAATTCGGGTTCCACATCAGGGTGAGACTAAAGTTCTAAATTACTTCTTCATTGCTAAGGATTGAATAAGCAATTCATTACATTAGTTTCTCACTCCTTGTGAAGCATGATGGTAAAGCTGTGCTATAGGTTACCAGTTGTAAGTGTGTATATGTGTTTAAGATTAAGCTAAACTAATATATTGTATTTCCTAGGTTAAGCCTGCGTGTGACGAATGCGACCTTGTTTCCCTCAGGTTTTTTTTTTATGTTATCGATGATTACGATTATTTCCTCTGCTGTTCCTTTCAGTTCCCTGCGTGTTCAACTTCACATCGCCGATCGGCATCGTGCTCTCACCCAACTACCCTGAGCACTACGGCAGCAACATGAACTGCATTTGGCTCATCGTTGCGCCCGCCGGCTCCCGCATCCGCCTGGTTTTCGCCGACTTTGAGGTTGAGTCGCAGTTTGATTTCCTGGCGGTGAAAGACGGAGACCGGCACGACGCTCCTCTTCTCGGCACCTTCTCCGGAGCTGATGTACCCGGGAACCTCGTCAGTGCGTCCAACACGTTCCGCCTCGAGTTTCTCTCGGACCATTCAACGCCTGGCCGCGGCTTCAATATCAGCTACACCAGTAAGGAACAGTGACACACACACACGGAACGTCCGTAAATCTATGTTACATGCGTCAAAAGTTAAAGTCTCTCCATGCCCAAGCGAACATGAGGCAGTGGTCATGTTTATTCATTGCCCTGAGTGGAAGGAAATTCACCATTCCCATCGCGGCTGTCAGTCCAACCCTCCCAAGGACAATGACTGCTGACTTCCCACACAGTGGTGCTTGTTTTTTATTTCGTATCATATCCAGAGGGGTGATGGGCTATATGAACCCCTGATCAGCATTTGGAATCATCTTTATTGTGGGATAAGAGTATCTACCACAAAAAGTGGCCACGTGGCTCTGAGGTCAGAGCGCTGAGCCAGCACCGCCGAGACGCTCGGTTCGAATTCAGGCAAATCGCTCGTGGCGTGGCGCAAAATAAGTTCAACATACATACTGGGTTCTCAAGTGTCATTGAGTTGATGGACTCAGCCTGGTCGCCAATAGCTACATGCACAAAAAATTGCGTAACATCAGATTTGGTTTTGCGTTTAATTTGGCTGAATTCCAGCTCGATTCTCAAGAGATGAGCGTTACTTCTTGGTGGTTGAGTGGGCAGGAAAGTGCTGCCCCCTGTTGTGGGGTTATTCTCTTTAACACAATGTGCTGCTCAGCTGTGCGAAACACACGTATGGGGTATTTCATCCCACGAGACCAATGGCACAATTATGAATAAGATTGTGGGGAAATATAAAACAAACAAAAAGAGCACCTACCGTAGTGCCTCCTGGTCAGAATGTGCCCACTGGGTCAAAGCCAATGCTTCTCATAATGCAGAGGCTTGTACTGTGATTTCATTCACACGTTGTAAATAAAAAAATAATGGTAATGATGATGACGATAGAGATTCTGCACTAACCTTGAACCAATTAGAAAGTAGAAGTAATTAATCTGCAGTAAAATAGTGAGATTAAAAATATCCTCAGTGGTAAAGAACTGCTGAACATGTACTTGTATTAATTAATTTTGAAAGTTTGTGTGAATTTTCAATGTATCGAGGCTGATTAATTTTGCAGTCACAGAAGATGACTCAGCTAGCTATGAACCTATGCACCTACAGTAAACATTACTTTTCTGTACAAACTTTTTTTTTATCTTGCACGCAAAAAACGTATTCAAAATGAAAGCTGAAGATGTATTTAGTGAAAGCATTATATAACTCATGCCTATGTCAACACAATGCAGACAACCACTTGAATAGATAAGTAGTACGCGATTGAACTGACAAGTGTGTGCATGCGATGTTTGTTTATTTCCAGCTTTTGGACACAACGATTGCTATGATCCAGGCAATCCAGTCAATGGGAGGCGGTTCGGTACAAAGTTCCATCTAGGCAGCATGGTGTCTTTTACCTGTGAGAAAGGCTTCATCAGAACAGAGGGCTCCGAGATCTTGACCTGTGTCTCAAGAGATGGCAACATTGAATGGAATGAAAATGTCCCCAAATGTGAAGGTACAGTTCCCTTATGAATATAAAAGCAGTCATACCGGTATGGATGCAATCGTATAAGGGGGAGTCAAAAACTGTTGAGACTAATAACACGATGTAACACAATTTTTGTTCCTGCATACGAAGTGTTATTTTTGTATTGCTTATGCCTAAAAAGTATAGAAAATGGCTATTATTCTCCACAAACTTTTATTTTGTGACCAGGACTTTATTTGAGCAAAATACACAAATGCACACGTTTTCTCATTGAAAATAGGTACATTTCAAAATATCACTGTCCTGGTCACAAAAACAAAGTTTGTGGGGAATAATAGCTATATTTTGTACTTTTGAGGCATAAGTAATTAAGAAATAACACTTACTACCCAGGAACAATTTTTTTGTCACACAGTGTAATGATTGTAGACGCTGTGGAAACGTATTTGTTATTCAATAGATGAACCACTCATAACAGATCAGTGATCTATGCATGGATATTCAAAATAATAACATCAGGTTGGTGTGAGATTTTCGAGTATATTTTGTGTATAATATAACACCTACAAATATCCTTGAATAAATATCAACACCATCGGCCATGGTCTCTCCACTGCTGGATGAAGGCCTCCCCAAGCCATTGCCATCTAGTATTTGTGGGTGTAGGCTGTCACTTCGTCCTTAGTCTCTACCACGTGTCCTGCCCTGGCCGACTTGTTCGGACTGTCAATATGATGCCTTTCACTTGCTATTTGTTCTCTGATCTATGTGTTCCCCTTTCTTCGTCTCAGTTTCATTCCAAACATGCAGAACTGTATAGGCTTCTTTGCACACTTTTTAGCCTCTGTGTTCCAAGTTCCAGATCTGTATGTCATACCAGGAATTTTAACTGGATTCTTTAGGAACATTGGTGTTTATATATACACATATACAGTTGTTTTTTTCCGTTTCAAAATGTACTAGATTTCATACTGTAGCATATACTTTCTCTACTGTCACTGACTAATTGTACTATTTTTTGAAATAAAAGAATTGCATGCAATAAGCCATCTAAGGGCAAGTAATTATTTTTTGTCACGTTTTTTTGCTTTTCCTTTTTAGCCCAATGAGCAATAATACATTTGGTTACATATATATTCATCACTTATTTTAAGCACACATAATAATACATGTCGAAAGTCGTATTAGTTTTTTGGGTGTCTTTTGTTGTATTATTCATGCAGGCTATCCGAGAGTTGTATTGCCATTTCACTGTCCGTGTATTCATCCTTTTTGGCGTATAATTCAACCACAATAAGAAGTGGATGAACCAATCATCATAAAATTTGTATTATTCCATATCTGTAATAAGGGACCTGTGAGTGATCAGATTTCCACGCAATATTTCCAATGCAATTACTGAAATTTGAATTGTGCTCAAATTAGATGTACAATTTTGTGAGATTACCCTGAAAGAAATTAACTATATTACACTGTATCAAAGATTATGGTTTTGGATTTACGGGTTAGCATTCAAACATTTGCATAGACTTCAATAATATTCAGATGTTTTATGCAATAGCTTGTATAACACAAACGCCACGCTTAATATTACGAGGCTACAGTACAATTATACTACGAAGTATTTCCACATTTTCCTAGTTCTTAGCTCAAAATAAAAACCCTTCCCTCTGATAGTAAATAACCATGTTGCCCAGATTATAAGATGCTTCTTTTTACCTTTAAGGTAAAGAGTTTGATGGAGGTGAGTCTTGTAACCTGGTAGGTGTGCGTGTGTGACGTTCGTGACACCGGCTCACTTTCTGGAGCATCTTATAATTCAGAGAATACAGTATCAACAATAAGAAATTCAGTGTTTGACTATTTAACTATACATTATTATTTTATTTTATCAGGTAAGGCCCACTGAGCTATATAGCTTTTTTTCAAAGCAACCTGGCCATCACAAATGATAGCTCAACAAAGTGGCTTATTGTGTGGAAATTTATAGTAGCCAATACTCTAAACTCATGTTTCTAAATGTGGAGGGGAAAACCGGAGGACCCGGAGAAACATCCATGCGACCACGGGAAGAAACACATGCAAACTCCAAATATACAGGTGTCAGGGTCGGGATCGAACCCACGACCTCTATACCATGCAAGGTAGTTAACATCTCGCCACCCTGGCACTATAGTGTATTTATAGTGTTTTATACTGCGAGGTGAGATTGATTTTCTTCACCAATGGAGTTGGTCAGCTTGATTGGAGACCTTGATAGATTGACCTTATGTTATCAACCTCTAGGCCTCACATTAACACATCTCAGATAATCTATGAATGGAATATGGAATTCAAGGTTTTTTTTTTCATCTCATGATGGGCATGGGTCAATAAAATTGTTTAATTCACAAGGGCCTGTGTCAGTCCATTGCTGGATGAAGGCCTTCCTATGTCATATCATTAATGATGGTTATTTTATCATACTTCACCACGCTGGTCATTTGTGGAAACAGACGCTCATGAATTTCAAATTGCTGAAGTTTTGCCAATATTATGTGGAATTAGCCATAATTCCTCCGTAAGGAATTGGACCAAAAATGTAATACAACTAAAATGTTCTGTTATGCAGGGGGGGGGGGGGGGGGGGGGGGGGGGATATGTAATATTACAGCCAAGAAGTTAACTATTGTGGTAGAAGAATATGGAATATATGCCTGAATGTGACCACCTGCTCTTGGTATACTATTAAACCACTGTACACGGCAGTGGTTTAATTTCGTAGCTACCATTATTGGGAGCAACAATTTTCTACTTCTACAATTAATATACACTTGGAGAAATGAGGCGTGAATCGTTTTTCTTCCAAAAACAAGGTTTTACTGATGAGGCAGCATTGTCCTTTCTTCAAGCAACGGAGGACCTGTAATCTGTGGTGACAATTTAATCTAACAAAACACACTAAATGAAGGGGCTGCTCTTATGAAGAGCATAATTAATTCTTTGAGGTCAGGTGTGGATATAATGAGTTGGTTAACATATCTATATACTATTTCTGGATAATTGTTTCGTTCAAAACTGTGGTGAAAATGCATTGTTATATAATACAATTATATTGTGATTAATTCCTAAAAAGGTTCGTATTTTTTTATTTCAACATGTCCATTTATAAAATTATATTGTAACTGACGTGTGCGCTAAGACATTTAAACAAAATTGTATGAACACAGACAAATACTAAATGTCAGTATATAAAAAAAAACTAGATCAATGAAGCCATTCGTGTGCATGTGGGTTCATTGTCGCTTTCAAAGTGTGCAATGTGTCATTGGGTTTTTAAATGTGTTTCAGCACCATGCGGTGGCCACCTGACCTCTCTAGCTGGCATTATCCTGTCCCCGGGCTGGCCAGGCCTTTACAAAGACTCTCTCAGCTGTGAGTGGATCATTGAGGCTCAGCAGGGACATGCCATCAGGCTCATCTTCAAAAGGTTAGTCTCTCTCTCTCTGCCCTCCTCCCCAAAGCAAAAGTGAAAGTTGTACATGGTCAAGTAGATAGACCTGACTGTTGACTTCCTCACTTACTACAACAACAAGAACAAAAAGCTGTGTACGTGGACACTGGTTGTGATTTCTCAGCTCCGGAACCACCAGTGATGCCGTTATCACATGCACGCCGTGTTAGTTAGGTTTTGTACCCAATGTTCACTCAATGGCAATGGTATTAAGCTGGCCCTCTATGCATCTCTATGCATCTCAATTATATGGATACCAAAATCTATGGTACTTCAAGAACACATAATGATGACCTTGTGAATAATTATCATGTCCTACATACGTGTGATTTGAATTCTCGTTCAGTTATTTCAATTATCAAATCACTCAAAGTCACGTCTGCTCTTGCATCACTTAGTCTGACAAATAAGGCACACGCCGGCCATCATAAGTGATTTGCTGGAAGCAATGTGACAATCATTTGTGCCATTTATCCAGCTCAATGAGTATTTATGGAAGGTGCCTAGTTTGTGAAATGCACATACATTACTGTCGAAACTCTGGTCCATCGAGAGATCTAGAGGCCTTTCTGCGTATACATTTTTCATCACTTTATACAGTGGTGGTTAATGTAAAAATCCATAAACGTGTAGATGGCAGCCACTAAAACATTTATGGTCACTTGACCTCTGAATTTCCAATACATAAAAGCTGGCCTATAAATGATTGACGTCTTTCAAAGGTCAGGTGATGGTAGATACTATAAAATACATAAATAAATGTGTAAATCTGACTTTATATGTGTTTCTTTTTACCAGGTTTCAGACGGAGGTAAACTACGATGTACTGCAGATATACGATGGTGCATCTACTTCATCTCCCCTCACTGGATCCTTCCATGGGACCCAGGTTCCAGAATTCCTTGCCAGCACTGGCAATACCCTTCTGCTACATTTTACCACCGACAACAGCCGCTCCAACGTGGGCTTTCAGATCCTTTACGAGAGTGAGTCATTCGAAATCAAGATTTATCTGTAAATTAAAATAAGACCCGTCACACCAGGAGGATATGTTCGGGCTGGAAACAAATAGGGTTAACAACACACAAAGGTGTTTCCCACGTACGGCAGGAATGCAAGACTCCCATCGTGGCTTGAATGCATTGTCATATGACCGCCAAAAACTGCAGGTGGCTTAAACAATACTCAGAACATTGTACATGCAATGCACTCGTCACGTGATGTGTATTCAAGGCACGATGGAAGCGATATCTTCCTGCTGTTAGTAAGCACACCACTATGTGTTGTTGAATCTAATCATTATTGACACTATACACAGTACGCATGCACAGTATGCGTATGATTCCTGGCTACTTAAATAAGTTCGTGTACAAAGTATTGAATAACACTGTGTAACATGCTTATATATTTATGTGCGTGCACGCGTGTGCATCGATATGCGGAGACATTTTTTGAACTGAAATTACGCACTATACATGCGTCCTGCCGAGCATCGATGTGCAAAATGAACGGAAACTTCAGAGCACTTCAAAGTAAACATGGTGGCCTCTGATCAAATGTATAACAACACTTTGGTAAAAATGTAACTATGACAGGAATTTTCCTGCCTAGATATTTAACCAAAGTGTTATTTTATTTGTCTAAAGCTTGTGTTTCTATTTCTTTCATGGTGCTGTTAAAGATAAACTGGAATGTGTTTATACATCCACACACACAAGGGGCAGTCACACAGCATTGGAGAAAGTATTGTAAGAATGCAAACTAATATATATCTCAGTAGGGTTAATACAGCATCGATGCTCCTATTTTAGAGGCTTTAATTTAACACAATATTGATATGGCTTTTTAGCGCGACATTTTTTCTAAACACAAGTCGACACGTAGCACATTATATACATCGATGTTTGAGCTCATGATGAACATGCTACTATTCGCCGTTGTGTTAAAACATATTTGATTCTTAAAATGAGTTGCGATCCTGAATCATGACTATTCATCGAATCCGCCGCCAGGAAGGGCGTGACTCATTCCGCACGCGTAGCTTGCATTGCGCGTATTTTACGAGTCGCCCACACATTATAACTTTAGACATGCCATGCTTTATTTACCGAGTGATTACCACGTTTTAGTTGGCACACTGGACCTGCAACGCAGAGCTTGCTGGTATCAACACACCTAGCAGCACATCATATATTTTTTTTGTTGTCAGAATCTTTATTGAGACTGGAGAGATATCATGAGGTATTAAGCTCTGTTTCACAGATGTCCGGTATCGGCGGGTCAGCAATTGGTACACCGCAGTTCGTGGATCGGCATGTTGTGCACGTGGTGTGGTAAAGCATGAGTAACTCCCACCTCTACCACAGTCAACATGGAAGAGTAGGCCAAGTGCCTTCTAGAGACACTCAATAATGCTTCCATCGCAAGCCATTCCGCCAGCAGTGGCGTAATAAAATACAAAGCGGAGCTTCACCTTCACCCTATTTGATAGGCTATACACCTAGCTGACATGTTGATGTAAATGTATGCTCGCCTCGCTTACAACATTCAACCTGATACTTATTGGCCACCTGCCACTTCTGGGTTGGTGATTCAACAATGGGGCGCCCGCCTCTCTTGAGTCACCAAGCCAAGTATTATTGGTTTAAATATCCCAGCCTCAGTCTGATTATGTTCTGGCAACTGTGCAAGGATCGCCTGCGATTGCCGTGTGGAAGGTCAAATGAGCAGACCTACTGTGATGTAAGCCTTTTAATGAGTGGATTTGAAAACCTTGGCAAAGGGCCCCCATTGTGAAGCATCTGCCCTGGGATAGTAATTTACAAAGCAACACTCACCATTCAAAAAGGTTCCAGGATCGTAGCGGTCATAATTACCAAACCGTGCGGAGAGAAACATAAATAGTAATTTGCTGGCTTTAAACTGGGGGTATGCGTGTTACCTGCCAATATTCAATGTTGTTTCACATTTGGAAGCTGCAGAACTTGAAATGGGGTCCCTAGACACCTTATCAAAAGTGCACAGAGTGTTGTAGCCATTCTCCTTGCAGAGCTTAAATTGTTTTAAAGTAAGTACACCAGATGCCGTGTGGCAAGAATATAAGGAATGCAATTAGAATATACTGGGTTTTTTAGCACTTATTTATTAATTAGACTCATATAAACATGGTTTGGACTACACGTATAAGTACACATATGAGTGAATGCAGACTCTATGAATGTAATGATCCACACCTCAGCCTCAATTCAGGTTAATGATTTGCAACAAAAAAACATCTTCTTTGTATAATTTTATATTGGATTTGAGTTTGGGATTATTCATGCAGACTTTTTTTTTTCATTAGCACACGATATCTGTAGATATTATAAATTGTTAATACCTCTGCCAATATTTACTAAGATGCAGTGTGAAATATTAAATTGCATGCCTTAGAAATGGGCAGGATGAAAATAATAAAAGATATGTTCGAGAAATTGCAGCGTTAAATTGGCTACAGTGTTTATAAAGCAAATGTTCATTGGAAGTTGAGCAATGTCTGCATCTTCATCCTGTGCATACAGTCTGGCTCGTCGATCATTTATTTATTTACATTTTAAAATCTCATTATTTCACTAAATAAGCTCTTTGCAAGTCAATGTTGTCCATTTTATAATTATATCCTGGCTTTAGTGGCTCATGTGCATACATATCCTATTTGCAAATGTTTGCATTTAAGTTTGTACGGATATATTAGCCTTTATTTGCCCAAAAGAGCAATCACTTGCATGTTATGATTAGTATGTATGTGCAATTTTACCAAAAGCAACACTGCTCTAAAAGTTTTTGCCAGTGTTTACTCAGCTATTGTGCACTTGCATAATATTTTTACCAGGGATGTATCTATGTGGGCGCGTGCATTTTTCTCCAAGTCCTCGGCTTTTTCCCTCCACATTTAGAAACACGCATTTAGAGTATTTGGCTGCTATATGATTACCCACTTCTTTGAGCTATCAGTTATGGCCAGAGCTACATAGCTCAGTGGGCCTTAGTTGGTAAAATAAAAACAAAATAGTATGTTGAACTTCATTAGCACCGTACGTAATCAATTGTGCTAATCGTAGCTAATTGATCAGATATACTGGGGTGTTTTAGATGTAATAGAAGGTGCTGTTCACATCACAGCTGGAGAAAAGCCTCCACCAGAGGGCCCCTCTAGAGGGTATCTGGCCTACTCTTCTACACTGGCCAGATGTCTTGGAATACAGTAGGTGAGAGTCTCCACATTTTATCTTACCACACGCAAACTGTCAATCAACCATGGTGTACCCATATATATTGCTGGGTGGACATACGTGGGAGGGATTTAAGAAATGTCCCCATTGTTTAAATTGCCGCACCAAGAGATCGAATTGAATCTAAACGAAACCAGGTAAGGCCCACTGAGCTATATAACTCTTTTTCAGAATCGACATGGCCACAAATGATAGCCCAATGAAGTAGCTTATCATGTGGACATTTATAGTAACCAAATACTCTAAACGGATGTTTTTAAATGTGGAGAGAAAATCCAGAGGACCCTGAGAAAAATCCACGTGACCACGGGGAGAACATGCAAACTCCAAATATACAAGCGAGGTAGTTAACATCTCGCATCCACAAATCAGTGACATTTGGATTATCCCATTTGCTACCCATTACACATGGCAGCTACATTCGCATATAACTCTTTGTTAAACATCCCATTGTGTGCAGTTTCCAACACTGTATACTGCTATGTTATTTTAGACCAAGTAAAACAAACATTCTGATCATAAACCGTTAACATGCATACAAATACAAATTGTCATCGTTACAATACATAACCCATTTTACCCATTGATAAGAACGTTCAATGAAAGCTAGAAGTACGCCAAATTATTAAAATATTTTTACAATTGTAAAATAAATTAAACCTTCTAAACAGTTGCAAAAATATCTTCAGCACAAAAAAAAGAACATAACATGAAAAGTGGCGCAAAGCGTAGAGAGATGCATGCTGGGAATTACATTGAGAGACAGAAAGAGGGACACATCAAATAGAGAATACAGACAAGTTTAAGGGACATCATCCAAACTGTTAAGAACAGTTCGTGTGACTTGAGCAGGACATGTTACTCGACGAGGGGATGCTGGATGGTCAAAGGGAATGACTGTGTCAACGAATAGAACGTGTTTGATAGTACGTCCACCGAGGAAATATGGTGATGAAATCAGCTGGTGTATTAGGTGCTATAGGTGTATTATTACATTGCTGAATATTGAGAGATGACTGTAGCCTGCAGAGACCTTCAATGCAGCAGTGGATTGATCAAGCTGATGATGGCGATTATGATATTTTACCGTCTTAGATATATACGGGTATTGTTCACTTAGATCCAAATAGCTTCGCTCATTCGAGGCATTCACCGGCGAGACTCCACACGCATGAGGGCATCATGCTAATGTAAGCCCAGCAGGTTCATTATAATTTCAGAATATAAGCCCCAGCATTACCAGAGATGTTTCTGCTAAGAGGCACAGTTGAGATATATTTTCACACTAATTTTAACTTCACAACAAAAAATGTATAACACTCTTGGATATGTATTTGTTTAGATTGCGGTCCTGTTTATTGACATCATAGCACTTTTGGTGGACACCGTGGTTTACCTTATCGCCATCATTATCTCTTTCTTCATGATAATGTGCTTCACTGACATTATCAATAAGAGCCACCCCTTGGAGATGCTGTTAAGCCCACTGCTTGTCTGCTTTTGTGTAGATATGAAACATCTAATGGTACTCTTTGGAAAAAAAAAGTAGGCCACTCTGTGCTGCTATCTTGACCAATTTTACCAATTAAAATGTCGCTTAATGTTCTCAAACTATCTGTCCAGTGTGAAACAAGACCTTTCCATATATGCACATGCAGCTCATGTCGGTGTATTAGGTGCTCTTACTTTTTCACGCCACTGCTGGCAGAAAGGCCTTCACGAGAGGGGCTTGAGAAAGTGCCTTTAGAGGGTATTTGACCTCCTTAGAAGAGGGTGGCGAGTGCTCATTATTTTCCACCACACGTGACCTGCTGATCGACTAACTGTGGTGTACCATTTATACTGCTGCGTGGACAGAGGTGGGGGGATTTAGGAAACTTGTACCATTCATTCGACTGCCACACCAGGAGATCGAACCAGTGATGTCGCCACAGCGACAAGATGTTAACTACCTCTTGAGGTATAAAAGGCCGTCGTAGGTTCGATCCCGACCCTGACATCTGTATATTTGGAGTTGGCACGTTCTCCCCGTGGTTGCGGGGATTTTTTCTGGGTGCTCTGGTTTTCTCTCCACATGCCTCTATAGTTTTGGCTGCTATACATTTCCACGTGATAAGCCACTTCGCTGAACTATGAATTGTGGTCAGGTCGCTTCTGAAAAATAGCTATATAGCTAAGTGGGCCTTACCTGTAAAATAATATACAGCTTCGTTTAGATTGCAAGTCCAATTTAAAATTATTGTTTTGTTTGCATTCATAATGACAATGAATTGTATAAATATACATTTGTAATGAAAATTAACATGTAAAACGGCGGACCCGTGTCACACGTGTGAGTGGGACATTTGTTGCAGGCATCACACTCAGCACGCACCTGTGCCTGGATCCGGGCGTTCCTGTGCATGGACAGCGTCACGGCACGGAGATGTCAGTCGGCTCCATGGTCACCTTCAGCTGCAACTCCGGTTACACCCTCAGCCACGAAGAGGCCCTGATCTGTGACAAGAACCTGCAGTGGAGTCACCCCATGGCCAGTTGTGATGGTACAGTCACCTGCATTACAACACCACACCTCTGGAAACAATCTCCCAAAAGTCATGCGCACAATCGGCTCCATCACTGCATTCAAATCACAACTGAACAGCACATCTATTTTAACTTGTCATACAACCAAGTCGCATCCACAACTTGCTTTTACAGTATTTTCATATTTTACACAGCTATAGATAGTATACATGTTTTTTTTCATTGCTTAGAATGCTCAATTTTTATGTTCATGAGTATGCATTATGTTCCTTTGAGGGGCAGATTCGTGCCAGAAAGCAACAATAATTTTGACTTGATTTGACATTACCTTGGCGTTCGCCGCCTGTAGCAGACGTTCGCACTTGGAGCCCAGCAGCCGCCCTGGTTAATACTGCAAGGGCAATAGCCATGCGGAGTAAGTGCTTCACAGTGTACTCTAAGGATGCCATGAGGTTGTTTAAAAAAGAGTAGGCCATGTGTGCCACGGTCCACATTTGCCAAGTTTGAGAATTATTTGCATATTTCTCAATTGGATAAGATCACATCGTACATAGCCCTCCCATACCCTCCTGGCAGACGTTACTCTTCTGTAAAACATGGTACCTTAATTAAATTATTGCATTATAGAAATAGCAAGAATACCAAATATGCAATGTTGTTATGAATGACTTAACTTAGTTTTAACTTGCTGTCACATATATAAGTACTATTACAATCTGTACATTCTAATGTATTCGCTCACCATTCACCATATTAACTGTAGGTCTTGTCTGCATGCAGATACATGTTTGCATGCAGTTCGTGTAGTAGCATCTGTGTCTGTCAGTCTCATCCCAATGTGTCTGTCTTTTATTCATCATTATGGCATGCTGTTTGTTTCTGGTAGAACATTTATGAAACGTAATCATCCGTGCAATTACGTTCTATTTACAGTGCGCATTATGCTTCACTGAATTGTGTAGAGCATCAACATTTTTGGCTTCATGTTTTGGCTATTCACAAAGCGTAACATGTGATTAGGGCATTTTATGAAATTATATTGTCGTGTAAAAAATGTGGCCTTGTAAATTGTTGCAAATGCATCAGTTATACATGTTTATGATTTAATGGATAGTATAGTTTTAATTTGCTAGAGAAGAAAGAGCAACTTTAATGTGAAAACAGATTTAAATGATTTATTTCATTAGCATATGTATATTGAGTACACGTGGATATATATACATACCTCATGTATATTGCCTCATTATGTTTTTAAATTCAGGTCACAACGAGACATCCAACATGGTATTAAAATCTAGCTGTGATTTATGAATAAGTGGCTGTATCTCAAGTTTAGATGCCTTCAGAGGAATTTTATTGTGTCCCTAGACAGGGTCTAGTCAGAGAGTGCATTGTCTCCCAATGTATTTTGGTATGCACATATGCTGATACCGTAGCCCAAGAAGCCATCTTGAACATATTTAAAATGTTTAAAATATAACTCGGCGCTCGTACTATTGCATTTTCTTTGCAAAGATACACGAGCTTATGTTAACGGAAATTAAATTGCAATGTTCTTTCGACTATATTCATGAATGCATGATGATGACGTCACTTTGTTTATAACTATCTCATTAGAAATGCTTTCTAAATGCAGTTGCAGCTTGTCATTAGTGACTGGTTGGGCCTAGCCCCAACTCGATAAAAACAGATTTAAAAAATAATAATAAACAACCATTACTTGAGCATTTTAACGTTTCTAAGAAGCATTATTAAAAAAAATTCACTTAGAATGCGTGCAACTTTGCAAAAGGCAACTATTCTTCTATGGCTCTAGGATTTGGTGTTACATGTTATTTATGTAGTTTATTGTAAAAATTCAGTCACAGTCCCTGTGATCACTGTTACGTTGCAATTATGGCTTTATTTTTTGGTGATTTCGAAAAGTTTTTTGGTTTGGACATGTTTGTTTTGTTGTAGTACGGAGTTAGTCTGATGGCCTTAACCTAAGTTTTCTTGTGGTTGTTGTTGTTGTTTGACTTGCATCCCACTGTGGTTTTTTGCACACAGCGTTGGTGTACGGTGCTTTTTTCAGGAATATTTTGCTGTTTTTTTATGGATTTTCTGTTTGCACAGTCACACATAGTCACTTTAAGATGTTTTTCTTGTTCGTGTTTTTGTTTGTTTGTTGTGGTTGCACCCGATTCAAGAGCCGAATGGCTCACAGGGCTATACCAAAATAAAAAAAACTGAAAAAAAAATACTGTGGGAACTAAACTCGTTCCCAGTGTAGTAGCCCCTGATAAACAGGTGCGAGCGATTGCGCAACTTTCCTGCTCTCTGGGCTAACCCCTTACCGGCCTGCGGTGAAGCGATCAAAATGGAGTTTAAATGAACAAATTACACAGGGGTGCTTGTAAATGTTCCTTCGTCGTTTTTCTTGGAGGTAAAGGTGCACAGCAGTGATGGTCCATTAGCCTGCCGTGCACCCGCTCGTCAATGTACATATGCATATCGCTTGTATGTATTACCTTAGCCCCGTATAGTGTTTCATTCTTCCTCAGTCTTAATGACATATTTTTTGGTGACACTGCGCTGGCAGTGGTGCACAAACACATTTACCAAAACTCGCATTCGTCAGTAACATTGCTTTGAAAGGGAAATTATATAACAGCGATGGCCCTTTTTTGTAGCGTGATGTACTGCGGCCTATTACATATTGTCATTTAAAGGCAGTGGGCATGATGAATGTCTTGAGTTTTCACTCTTATTAAGTGCATTTTTTTATTTCCTGCATGAGAATGGCATGAAGATTACCGTGCTCCGCTTAATTAGCACGTGAACAATGTTCCGGTCATAGTTTAAAAAAAAAAGCTTTCGGTAGCCTTTCTGGCTTACTCCTAATGCTGGCTTTCTCAAGTCTGGCTTCGTGAGCTTTTTCCAGTATATTTGAAGGCTCGCGTTGTGTTCTGCTCGCTCTCGGTGCAATAACTTCGATAGTGAGATTCCGCAGTGCTGTGAAAAAAAAAACCCCAGCATGTTGCCCACGAGGCATTATCATACGTGCATGCGATATCAATAAGCCTCGCTACATAATAATTCAACCTCACTATTTTGTTATTCATGTCATCATTGCTTCCACCTGCTGAATGATAAATGTGCTTAAAGCAATGTCCAGCCTTTTACAGATTAGCTTATGGATCAAAACACAATTAACGCATTTCGGTAAAAAAAAAACGAACGTGAAATTTTTTTATTCATCGTGGATTGAAGCGATTGCTTGTGTGTGTGTGCTACGTTCATGATTGCTCTCGGTCTTTGCTTTAAAATTCTCTTGTGTGTGTTTTGTCAAACAGCACCATGTGGCGGATATATCCATGCGTCCAGTGGAATAATCCTATCCCCGGGGTATCCAGATTACTATCCTAATACTCTCAACTGCACCTGGACGGTAGAGGTTTCCCATGGGAAAGGTAATGCCAAAGGTTATAATGTGTTGGCTGTATTTATGGCACCTGCTGTGCATGTTAACAGCAGTGCCACAAAATAATTCATTACCGTGCCTTCATATTGTTCCAGAGATATTTGGCAGGAAGTATTTGCTGTCATTAAAAATGTAATAGATTCACAGAGCAACCTCAGTGTAGGTTTTATTTTATCTTCTCGAGCCAACGTTATTTATGCTTAAGATATGCTGTGCACTTTATCGAAATATATTGCTGTTGTTGATACATTATTATGCATACATTGCTATAGATAAATTGTTACTTTTTCTTCTTAGTGTCCATATTACATTATATCTTAACACAGTAGCAGAATTTAAGTTTGTAAAAATATATAATTAGTTGACGCTGGCATATCCAACATACAAATATATAAACAACCATGTTCTTCACCCTTTTCAGCCACGTAAGTGACCATAACAAATCAAGCACAACGTAGCATGAACGTGTAATGGTTCAACTGAGTCCAAGACGTGGACTTGGAGGCAACACATTTATTCAGTTCCAACACACGAGATAACTTCCCCTTAACAGAAGGACAACCTAAGGTGGTGACCACCCGGCTAACTACACTAGTTTCTACACATGTCACAACGTAACTGGTGTAGTTAGCCGGGTGGTGACCACCAGGCTAACTACACTAGTTACTACACTAGTTACTACACTAGTTACTACACTTGTTACAACGTAACTGCTGCTACGGACCAGGACCAACGACTTCAGCCCGGGCCCACGTGTTGGAAAACTCGTTGAATGGAGAACGTAGACGAAGGGTTTCTTCGAGGATGAACGACAACAACCCTGGCCCCTATCGGGACCCGGCTTATATTATCTGTAGTGGGGCCGGCTCCGCCCCCTCTTGGGGCCCCTCTGTCAACTTAACCGGTCACGTGTCCTCCCGGGTCAACGAGAGTGCCATGGCCTCACACAACCTTATCCTACGGTTGGCACCCACACACCCTGTCCCGTAGGGTCGGCACTGCACTTAGAGCACGGTGCCATCCAGCGCTATTATTCAGCGCACGCCGTGCCCCTCTAGGGCCAGTACTGCACCCACAGCATGTTGACATCCAGCGATGTCATTGCAAACGTAAATAACAAATCACTATAGTATTTCTAAACTAATTCTGGTCGCTGTGGTTCCCATTAGATTATTTGCTTACCCGTTGTCTACTTTACTAAAGTTATTCTTTCAATGGCAGACAACAATAACCCATCTTATGACATAAAGTTATTTATGTGCAGTATTTGCATGATTTTATTTGTAGAAGAAATGCATAAAGCAATGCAAAACTATTTGGAATGGTGCTGGAGAAAGTGTCCACGGCTCTGGCCCTTTTCTTCGTGGATTGCCCTTTTGTTAGGGCCAGAACCGTGTTCATTATCGTGCCATTTGGTTTGTGCATTACAATTGTTGAGATAGCTACAAGGCACATCGGCATCTGTTTGGCTACAAATCAATATATTAATTTCCAAAAAAGTGCGATCCACGAAATGTATCAAAGCGATGCCAACTCAAAAATTGAATTGGAGTTTAAAATCTGTCAAGATATATCAGCTTCGCCAAAAATGAATTAACACTCAGAAGAAGCACTGTTACACAGGAGGGTCTTGAGTATAATGTACGGGTCACCAGGCAGTGGTGGGGGGGGGGGGGGGTCAGCTGGGCAGCCTTCTGGGCTCTAGCTTGGAGGTTTTCATGCGAGTCACAGCAAATGGTGTATTCATAACTTGATATGCATTAATTTACAGCGGGTAGGAAACAAATGACATGACGATTGTAATCTTGAATCTCACGTTGACCGTGACAATGACAACAGTATATCGATTGTGCTGATATTATTATTATCGTGCCACAAATGGACATCACCCGTGCTTCTGCTTCAGGAGTCCAGTTTACGTTCCACACGTTCCACCTGGAGAGCTCTCACGACTACCTGCTCATCACGGAGAACGGCAGCTTCTCCCAGCCCCTGGCTCGCCTCACGGGCTCCACGCTGCCCCCCGTGCTCCACGCGGGCGTCTTCGGCAACTTCCAGGCTCAGCTGCGCTTCATCTCCGACTTCTCAATGTCCTACGAGGGCTTCAACATCACATTTACGGGTGAGGAGTGGCGCTCTGGTCAGCTGTGAGCAGAACCACGTGGTGCACGCAGAGCAGAGGGAATACATTCGGTGGCGGCTGAATGGGGTCAGAGTTTGGGGGGTCAAGATGCTGTCGTCATGGTTAACACAATGTACTTGCAATCTACTTCAATGAGATCTTCCGACATGGACACATTTCTGAAATGTTCCCACCTCCATTCACCGAAAATGATAAATACGACATTGTTAATTGCTTAGAAGGGTTGTGTGTAGTGGGTAAGGTGTGGATATTCTCACCCACACTTTGCTTTCTATGATGGAGGCCAAAATACCATTTAGAGCGGTTCTCAAGGGCTCCCTTAGTGACAAAAAGACAAAGATCCCCCGTATAGCCTGTAACAAACTGTCGGGGCAAGTGCTGTTAGCGAGCACCTATGAAGGCCAGAGCGGTAAACGAGGGGGTGGGTGGCCAGCACCACGCCCGACCGCCTTTGTCTCCCCAGTGGCGATGTTTATACACCGCACCAGGTACTCATTTAAGGCTGAGTCGACCTAGGGGAGGCCCAGGACCGGTTCAGATAATCGTCACTGGTGTTGGCCGTGAGCGGGAATTGAACCCAGGTCACCAGGTTCATAGCGCAGCGTAGCGCTAACCGCTCCACCACCGCTCCCTTTAGCGAGGGCCTGTTCCCACGAGCAATGGTGCGAGCAAGTGCAGGGATGCACCTTCACCCTACTCTAGAAGCCGAAATATTTTATCGTTCATTAAAGTGGAGCCAGCGTTACGGATGCAGCCCCCCCTAACCTTCCCCGACTACAATTGCACTTGGAGTGACGCACCTGCGGTAGCTTACCACTGCCCCGTGCCATGTGTGTTCAGAGTACAACCTTGAGCCGTGCAAAGACCCAGGCATGCCAGCCTACAGCCGCCGGGAGGGCTCCACTTTCACGGTTGGCGACGTGCTGTCTTTCTCCTGTTTCGCCGGGTACCGTCTTGTTGGCATGCCGAAGCTTACATGCCAGGGGGGTGGGAGGCACGTGTGGAGCTCTCCTCTGCCGAGGTGTGTGGGTAGGTGGACCCACACCCCGATTACCGCACTCACACACCTGTCACAGCTAATGAGCCGTTTTTGATGCACGCACGCACGCCAAGGTGCTATGATATGTCAAATACAACGGTTCCTACTTTGTTTTTACTGCGTTTGTAATTTGCCTGTTAATCTGCTTTATATGTATATATATACATGGCACTGCAAATCGAACCCTGAGATCTGTAATCGATTCCCAGCCACAGCTAGAATTAGTGGCGAGTGAATGATATGTGAACCAACCCTGCCCACCCCACCCTTCACAAACCTGCACACGCTCGTGTGGTGGAGTATAGTTAACAACCCCGATGACCAACATGGCATGGGGAGGCATACATCCAGCAGTGGATTGTTGAAAGGGCTATACACGTAGAAATATGCAAGTCTATGGTTATTTGTATTCGTTCAATTCTAGATTTGAAGCTTTCGTGACTGCAAGGATCCATACTCTTTGGTTCTATTCGGTAAAGTCACGTAGGTAAAAAATACAACAACAAAAATCACGACCTACGTGACTTTACCGAATAGAACCAAAGAGTATTTGCTCAATGTTTCATGTGTCCATTTATTTCAATGTGTTGGGATTAAATGTAATTTTTGGATTAACGAAATGTAAATTTAGATTGAATTAAATGTGCATGGGTGGTTCAGAGGTCAGAGTGCTGAGGTGACACAGATGGGATGCTAAGTTCAATGCATGAGCTCTGAGATACATGCAGTCTTAATGCTCAAGTTATATGTACCTTCCTTATAGTGTTACCTATTCCAGTGAATTAAAATTAATATAACTTTCCAATTTCATGTGTATAGAATATTTACATTTTCATTTACAATAAATGTGTGGAACTGAATAAATACATTTACACATGTAAATTTGTTTAAAAGTACATGTATAGCCATTACTAAATTAAATATCAAATGACCACAATTAACGTTTTTCTTCTTCTAATATTTAAGATGATGTGAGATGACAAGTAATAAAGGAGTCAATATTAGAATTTGTGTATGTAATATCATAACCACAAAATAATTAAGTCTTCAACTATTTCCATGTAAAGTATTTAGGTGTATGGACAAAAAATTATCAATTGCATCTCTCTCTCTCTCGTTATTCAAATGCATGCAGCAAAAAAATGTATTGACTAACCATGAATAATAACTAGATTGTGAAACAAAGATAGCGATGATGCGAGGTTTTGCATATCACATGCTTGTTTGAACCATCTGACAAACCCTAAGGGCGTGTTGTCATAGAAACATACCAAAAAAAACTGCTTTTTAAGACTCCAATGGCACCGCAAAGCTTAACAGATTTTACATTAAAATTTGCATTGTGATAAGCCTCCTTTGCTGCATTGGCATTATTTATTAAAATGTTTAAAGTCAGGAGAATAGAGTTTATTTTATTTATGGGAGTGTGTGTTGATGCTTTAGACAAATACAACGTATACATACGTGAATAAAGGGAACTTCATGTTTCACATGGAGTCCTAAACATTTGGTCGCAATTATTTAATTATTTACATTGACATTATATGAATGTTATTAGTAACATTTAAAGAGCCGCTATGGGTTATACACACCATACAAAATAGCATTAATTTGAAGGAGACAAGGTAAATCTTCATACATTATAACCGATCGTTACTATAAACCTTGAAAATTCCTTATAAATGGGCCAGTCAGGAGCCGACTACGCGTGGAGCGGAGTGGTCAATTGGTGGTGCCACAATTTTGTCAGTCCCCTCCGTCCTTGTAAATTGACACTAATATCAGTACACCTGGTCCGTGCAACATCTGCTACACGTTCGCTTTGTGCCAGTGTGCAAGGACAGCAGACACTGTCAATATTTCGCTGATACCAACCCATCTGCTATGCGGATTGAAGGTTCTTTGAGCATTTGAAGTATGAGATGAAATGTGTAAAATGGAACAAGTGGTTTTCTTTTCACAATTTGGCTTCACTTTAAAAGGGCTAATGCATTTTTTTCAAAGTGTATCAAGACACTTAAAACACACTTCAGACGCTGGTTGTAATGAGCTTTAATCTTCATAGGCTATAAATGTAACTGAATTCGTGAAATGAATGCCTGTGATTTTTATTTTACATTTCCACATTGCCCTCGGATGATTTTCACAATTTAATTATTCATTATTTGCCAGTAAATCTGTTTTATGGAAAGAAAAATGGAGAAATGACCTCAAACCCACCTTTAACAATGTCATCTTGGGACAATGTGTGACAGTTATCGGTATTGTAATTACAATTATAACGATCAAGATACTAATCATGTAGACATTGAAATAGGCATTGGCATCACTCACTTTATTGAAATTATCTTGTGGCACATTGGTCAAACGCCTATTCCTGACTGATAGAATACATTCTTCAGATCAGATTATAATCTTTTTATCTTTCTTTATCGCACAGTTCTTGAAATTGTACAAATATATATATATGTGTCCATTGAAGCAATATCATGTTGCTATGAACAATATAAAAGTATTACCTGTAGATAGAGATATGCATATACATTTATTTAATTGCTGATTACAACCCCAAATTGTGTCGTCAAAAATCACTTCTGTTCGTCATTTCAACAGGCTTCTCATTCCAACACCTGCCAGTTCTGTCAAGCAGTGCAGATGGAGAGAGGGCAATAGCATCCCATTCATCCTGTGCATCTTATTACACATATCTTGCTGCAAAACCAGACTTGTCCAAACTAAAGTGGGAAATAAATGTAGTGCTTGTTAACATTTTTTTACTTTTGTAAAGTCATTGATGGATGGCGAAGATGTAGGGAGGCAATCATTCAGCGGTGGATTTAATCGTGTCCAATGATGATTACCAAGATGAAAGTTAATCATGACCGGGCTGAGTTCACTGGATCACTAAGCTTCAGAAGCTGTTTTAAACAATTGTGACTGCTCAAAGTCTAACCCAGGATTTCAGTGTTGTTATCGGAGTGCTTAAACATAGCCATTAGCTTCCCAAGTCACCCAGTCACCTGATTGGTTCTTAATCGGGAAGCAGATAGGATCCGGATGTCATGCAATGTGAAAACCTGGTAGCTAGTTAATCTTGTGGAAAACAAGAGGAGATAACTCTAAAACTGTTTTGAATTTTTGTTTTTAAATGATGCTCCTCATTGCCCATTATGAATTATGGCTATGCAGCCAGCACAGACTGACCCACTTTTTATGTTTCAGGTTCTTTAACGCCCCCATTTTAGCACAAAGTGTGCTTTGGGACTACCCTGAAGCGTTACTGAGCAATTGTAGGAATAAAATTGTCGATCCCATGCAAACCCACTGAGTCGCCAAAACGACTGGCAAATCCAGCCACATCGAGAAAACTATGTCATTGAGATGCAATGACCTGGTGGTGATAATAACGATGATGATGAGAATGATGACACTGATGAATATAATGAAAAAACAATACAAAAAAGTGCACGATGTTCATAAATGATCAGATTTTGAATTCGCATTTATGTTTGCTAAGGTCTTAGGATGTTATGACATGTAGCTATTTTTTTATATCATTGACAATTTTAATATGAGCACAATAATTAAATACTGTACATTACATCTTATATGTATATACTAAATACAACTGCATCTCCAGACACTTCGTCGGGATTTTTTTTTAGATTTGTCACCTTCACGTGAAAACAAATGAGTCTTGACTTGAACAAGAGCAGCAGAGTCTCAGCTGCACAAAGTGTGAGCGGAAGAAATTTCCAGACCCCGTGAACAGAAGCCAAGATGGAGCGACCTCCCATGGAACGAGGTTGATTGTGGTTGGCTTTAGAAGAAAGGCGCCTTTTATTGCTGGAGCGGAGACAGTGCGCCATAGAGCAGATTGAGGCTAGAGGGGAGCGGTAGAGGCAAGGGCAAGATCGTGAATAATTTGAAGACCAAACACTGAAAACTTAAAGTGAACCCAAGACTTGACATGAAGCCGGCGGAGAGATTGTCGTACTGAATTTCTTCCCACCTATGGTTTAAGTATTAATGTTCTACCAAATGCCATGCTCTATCGACTACTGGATTAAGGCCTTCTCAAGCCACAGCTGTCTGTCAAAGTATTGAGACAATAATTTCTGAAGCGCCCTTAAACAATCGTTCTCACATCTAACTCCCGTACATAATTAGATTTCCTTATTCCTTCTCCGTGATGGATGCCTTTGTTGGTATTTACCCTCCTTTGGCTCCTATTTGTTAGTCTCAACCACCAGACATCAACCTATTTAGTGACGTATCCTGCCCAAGCCCACTTACTTTTCTTAAGTGAAAATGATGTCTTTAACCTGCATATGTTTTTTTATCCATGTGTTCTTCCATGAAAATTGTAATTAACTCTGGAATCATTGCAGTCATCTATCATAAACCCAGGCCTAATTAAGATAGAAAGTAAAAGCATGAACAGCTACACTGAGGTTGCATGAACAAAGTGCCAAAATACATTGTATAAGGGGAGCCATATAAGTAGACACGATGTTGCCAAAGTTGTTCACGGAAAATTATGATTAGTTGAACAGTGTTGACGTACGCATGACTTAGGCAATCGTCAAATTGCAGGCCATAAAATTGTCGTAATTAAGTAGTTGTGCTATTATATTGTGAACATTTGGTGAGCATATCTTGCTAATTCGGGTTTTCATGTGTCCATTGCCACCCTGTAGCTGAGTGTGGAATGTCAAGCATTGGGACGGATGGTGAGCTCCTATCTCCCAATTACCCCGGGAGCTACGACAGGAAGCACGAATGCATCTACACCATCGAGACCGAGGCTGGCAGTGGCATCCGACTCATGGCTAAGACCTTCCGTGTGGCCGAAGGAGACTTTCTTAAGGTACCCTGTGCACGTGTGCTCATATCTGTGGGGAGCAGTGGCGCAGTGATTAGTGCAGTGCACTACCAACCAAGCGGTCTGAGTTCGATTCCCAGACATGGCCAACATCAGTGGCCAATATCGCCACCGATCCTGGGTCTCCCCTAGCTTGACTCAGCCTTATATGAGTACCTTGTGTGCTGTGTAGACATCAACGCTGGGAAGACAACGGCAGCCAAGCATGGTACTGGCCACACTATTCCCTTGATCACTGTAGTGACCTTAATAGGTGCTTGCTAACAGCACTTTGTCATATTTGGTGTTTGTAACGTGTGTAATTGAGTGTCATTTGCTACTAACCCCATGAGGGCCAATTGAAACAGTATTTGTTGTGGAACACACCTGTAACCCAGTGATGTACAAGATGGGTTTGTGGATTACATAGAGAAAAGACGTGTTTATGACAATCAGGTGCAGCCCAACAAGATGTTTAAAAAATGTAGTACAGCAAAGTCGAAAACTTGAGTGTTCCCATAAGCACGAGCCTACTCATGGTGCCCTTCCACATGCAAATTATTAATTTTATGGATGCAAAAACACCACTTTCCCTCAGTATAATAGTAAATGCAAAACATGAGAAGAATTTGAGAATGTTGTCATTTTGAGGATGTGTTTCATCAGTACCATTATATATTATGGAGCGTACAAATATTAACATTTACAAACACTACTGTGTAGTTTAACGCGTAGGCTTTCGCGACCAATATCATCCATGATATAGGTTTTTTGGGTTAGATCACGTAAATATAAATGCGTCGTTAAACCTGCCACCACCCAACACAGCCAATTAGTAAGGTTTGTCATGTAAACAGAACATGCCAACTCGTTACTAGTACAGCACACCGGTGTGTTGGAGAGCAAATCCACAAGATTTACAATCTGAGTACGACGTTTCGCCAGTAATTACAACCAGCTTCATCAGGCTACAGCCGGATTTGTGTAAGTTTTCGCTATTTTGCTGCATCACTGTCAGGTGTGTTTTTGGATTGTGCTGCATGATGTCTCACATGATGTCTCACATTTTGTTCCACGTGCATGAGGCTTCTTTAGGAACTGAATTGAGCAGCTCACTCTTTACCTTATTTATATTGCGTTTATTTAGCATGACACGCACATAGCTCTCTGATGTACGTTGCAGAACGTAGATTGAAATATCGGACATTGTGCCAAACAACCAGCGGTAAAAACGCATCAGAGAGATTCCATTCACAAAGTGTAAAGCATTGTTAACTGAATAATTGATTGCGTGTGTGATTTCCGCAGGTTTACGATGGAAATAGTAGTTTGGCACCGCTCATTGGGACGTATTCCAAGACGGAATTTCAGGGTTTATCCCTTAACAGCACTTCCAACCGCCTGTGGCTGAAGTTTGACACGGACTCTGAGGGCACAGAAAAAGGATTCCGTCTGATATATTCAAGTAAGAGAAATATGAATCAGAATTTCAATTAATGAGCCATTTGTTTTCTAAGAATCACATCTTGTGTATGTTGACTGCATGGTAATGCTATCTTTGAGTTAGAGACTATTTGGTGTTGACCTAAACTTGCACACATTATTCAACGTGGTATTTCCCAACGTTGTACCTTATTGCGCACATTTAAAAATTTTGTGTTTTTATCAAAGTTGTTGGTGTCAATGACACCCTATTGTTTCATACTATTAGCAGTATACATGAGATTTATTTATAATTAGCCAAAATGCATGTCTTTAATTACAGTCTACTTGAAATTTCATAGAAGACATCAACAACAGACATGTCAATGTTATTTTGTGGTTTGTATTGGTTGGAAAATGCACGCACAATGATAGCTTAATGATGTTATTTACTGGACTAATGCACATCTGTTTAACATATGTGATAAAATGTACACTTCATTTAGTAATACCTAAAATGACACTTTATGGCAGCCAACAAGATAAAATGTAACAATTAAAAACCAGTAAATGCAGCCAGCAATATATTTCTAATTAGTTTGGTGCCTTGTACTCACAAGAACAAATCTTCCCACAATTCTGTGTGTCAGTAATAGTTAATACATTTTAATTTTAACATGAGTTTAGTTCATCACGTATGGTTTCGCGACCAATATTATATATAACAAAGGTTTTTTTGGGTTAGATTAATTAAATATAAACGCGTCATTAACCTGCCACCACTCAACACAGACAATTAGTAAGGTGTGTTACCTTACTAATTATGAGTTTATTAAATAATACTCTTTGATTATAGAAGGATGTGTCTGGTACCCAAAAGCTACCAATGAATAACTAGCATTATAACGTTTGAAAAACTGGTCATTATATAAAAAAAAATCAAAATGTCATTTTCATCAAGCCCCTTGGTTGTCAAATTCAGTCTCCAACTTTCATTATTTACTCTGTCTGGCCTCTCTATATATGGGCTATGATATATGAGATATATTTTTTAAGCCACAGTGTTATTGATGAATTTTTTTTACAGTCGTTTAAGTATTCACCAGGGGTGGCCAAACCACGGCTCACGAATCACGTGCAGCTCTAGGGTAATTCGTGTATAGCTCGACTAGAGATGCAGACAATTGTTTTACTTTCCAATACTGCATACGTGTATTTGAAACAGCAAAAACATCTGCAGAAGCTGGAGTGGCCTAATGACACTCTCCGCTTACAGACATGAGTATTCCTGAGACACTCCCGCAGATTTCTCAATTCAAAACGCCATAGCTAATCAACATGAGCGACCTGGCTGTCCTAGACAATGCATGTGTAAAGTCGCACGCATCTTGTGGCTCTTGGCCATATTTTGGCACGTGGCTTTTTGGGCCAGGAAGTTTGGCCACCCCTCGATCATACACAGAGTCACCTTCAATGACATTGTAATTACATGTGTTCATGTTGATTTTAAATGTTGAACTTCAAACTAAAAGTGCGGTATTCACCGTCGGGTATTATTTTATATCTTGTGATAAAAAAGAAAAGAGTTTTACCACCTCTCATAAAAAAGAGATAAAATGAGGCTCATAACATAACAGGCCTCATAACAAAATAAATGGCTGCCACATTCCGAACGGCATTTTCTGTTTCCGATGTGCGGCATTTTTTGAAATCTTTCTCTCGTGGCAGGCTTTGAGTTGACCCACTGCAAGGAACCAGGTTCCCCAGAGTTTGGCTACAAAATACGGGAGCAGGGACACTTTGCTGGGGGCACAGTCGCGTATGGCTGCAATCCGGGCTACAATCTCCATGGCAGCAGCACTTTGACGTGCATGACGGGCAGCAGGCGGACCTGGGATCATCAGCTGCCGTCTTGCGTTGGTGAGCCAAGCACACTCAAACAGGGCTCGGTGTTTTAAGAAAAAAATGCATTCATTTAATGTGTTTGATTCTGCCTTAAAAGTAAAAAAATAAATGTCTAACTCGGTTTTCTGAAATTGCGAATAGCTACAGTCTATTGTGGCTGGGTGGTCGCCAAGAGATGACCGTGAAACAAGAATGTTAGCAGACATGTCCGTATCGGTTTTATGAGTGTTATCCGGTGACATTTTATGTATGTTTAGCTTATTTTCCACCGTACATAGTAAACCATGGTTATTGGAGGTGCAAGGGAAGGACAGCAAACTAAACGCAAAAAAGCAGTTCTAAATAAGTTCCGTTTAGATTTCGTATGGATTTTCTCTGGGATTTCTGGTTTCCTCCAACATGCAAACATCTGAATAAGGATTGGTCAAATTTGCCAATGTAGGAACCTCATGAAAAAGATTGAAAACGTGGCCAGGCTTTTCTCGATTAATATGGCAACATTAGTAAAAGGCAAATTATGGTATTAATATTAAGCTTGATTTTTCATATCATGCCAGAGCTATGATGGACCAACTTTGTAATGCATGAGGAGGGAGGATGCTTATTTATTTAACATGCTTTCATGAACTTGTTTTTTGATCTAATGCTCGCGCACCACGCTATCATATAGAGTGATATTTTATATTTGAACGATGCTGGAAGCTAAGGGGTAATCTCCAAAACCTTGTTCCTAAAATTCTTCACATTAAGGTTTCTGAAGCAATGCTGAGCAATGTGACCTGGAGGATAGCGCTTGCAATCTGCTACAGATATGCTATAAGGCAAAGCATATCTGTAGTATACCTCCAATGGATATGCTACAAAGGGAAGCAATCATTTCTCTGTTGTAAAACTATTGATGTGCAGTACATTTCACATGTTACTAATGCATTGCACATTCATGCAATAGCGTTCTAAGAAAGTCCAATCTATGTAATTCATGCCACGTTAATTAAATTATGCATCTCTTTCAAACTAGCTAACATTTTTAAGTCACAATAAAGGTTTTTGGGTGAGATCGCGTTATTTATAAATGTGTCGCAACACTCCACCGCTCGACACGGCCAATCAGTATAAAATGTGTCACGTTGCCAAAGACAAATAGTTCACTATTTTAGCCCACAGGTTTGTTGACGAGTGAATCCACAACATATACATTTTTTTGGCAAATTGCCCGATGATGCTGGATGTAATTACCAGCGAAACGTCGTACTCAAAAATTGAAAATGTTGTGGATTTACTCTTCAACACACCGGTGGGCTAAAGTAGTGAACTATTTGTCTTTTATATTCTTGGTTCTTTCGGTAAAGTCACGTTGAAGGGAAACAATAAGAAAATAAACTATATATATAAAACAATATTATTTTATTATATATTATTTATTGTTTCCCTTCAACGTGACTTTACCGAAAGAACCAAGAATATGAATCACTGCAGTCACGAAAGCTTTAAATCAAAATGTATTTGTCTTTTGTCAATGTGACACTTTTTTTTACTGATTGGCCGTGTCGGGTGGTGGAGGGTTGCGACACATTTATAAATAACGCGATCTCACCCAAAAACTTTTATTGTGAATAATATTGGTCGCGAAAGCCTACGTGTCATTCTTAAGTGAGTTTTCTTTTTCATAATTAATGAAGCGTGGGCCATTTCTAAGCAAATATCAAGTGCTTGCATGATAATATTTATGAATACAATTGTGTGTTTACTGCAGATATTGTTTAAGTGAAACTATCTCACATGTATCATGGATTTATTTCATTTCAAGCAGATTGCATCATGGTCAAAGCAAATAAACCATTAAACGTGTTTGATGGTGGCTTTAAAATCAGGTTAGAGCCCTAGCTTGATTTGCAAACTATATAAAGCAATATTGTGACTGTTCTTCAAAGTGGTTAAGCAACCGGTCACGATGTGGTATCTGCTTCTGCGTTCTGCGTATGCTAAGCAATTTGCCCGACAGAAGGATGTCCACAATTTTACGATTTGCTTTAGCTCAAAAAAGGAGAGCACGATTTTGAAAATTATAAATGCCACTGATGGCTTAATCCACATGTTCTTCCAGTGGATGAATGGGTGCTGATATTCCTATGATTAGGCTCCACTCTCTCCTGTGCATTGTACAATGTGATGGGTCAGACACAATCAGCAGATTTTGTATCTGCTGGTCAAGGGGTCGGGAAACTGCAGGTCGCTGTGTTGCTCAGGTTTTGACACCTTGGCATAATGATGAGCTTGGCACTGCTGAGATCCTAGCTTTGAATCTGGACAGCCACCCATAACTAAAGTGGGTTTTGAAGTGTAGTGAGTTGACGGTCTCAGCTTGGTCAGCAAACACTGCAGCAAAGGGTATTATTGGCTTGTGATACCCAATATTTGCAAGGCATATGCAAGATATGGCCCATATGAGGATGAAGGAGCCCGCGGAAGTTACTTCAAAAGCAGTTTTTGTGACATCAGGGTTTGAAAATTAATACCCTCTTACTTACGATACATTCGAGGAGTATTATCTTCCACGAGGCAGTGCACTGCTAATTCATAATCATCGTCACTGTCGTCGCGTATTACCTGATATCACGCTTTGCACAAGTGTAAAACAAGTCCCGAATCGCCAACGGGATTAAAAAACACAAGTCAACAGAGTGCTGCACATGAGTAGTAACACACATGATCTTAGAATCACAATATTGTTTAAGACAACCAGTAACATAGTATACAGTGTGTACTAAACTAACAGAATAACTAGTTCATCGTGACATCATTACATGCTTTACATATACTAAGTGACGAGCCACTGACTGCCAGTGTGACACGGGAATACGGACTTGATTGATAATTATGGCAGTTCTGAATAGTTCTTTGTCTACTAAATGTTGCCCTTACGACAGTTGGAATATAGTTGTAAGAAAATAATTCGTTTATGAATTCTAAATTCAGTGACAGTATGTGAATGTATATGTGTGTGTGAGCAAGAGGACTTGGATCTGAATACGGAAATATCGCATGCATACATACATGCATGCTTAAGCTGAGCTATGTAACGGAAAATATAATTTTGGGTTGTTTAGGTTCTGTCTTTTGCATATAAAATGCTTATTATATTGCTAGCATTGCATTGCTAATTAATTATTCTAATATAGGTTATGCTTGACATATCACACATTTACAATTTCTACAATTACATAAATGAGTCACATCGTGCTCATTCGTAATTTTGTTCAAATAATATCGCATAGCGTTACGCACTGTCTGGAACGAGCACATTTGGGTGCCGTGCATGTATTGGTGAAATGCTGAAATGAAAAAAACAGAACACAAGAAGATCATCTGACACAGAATTGGTGCTGCAGAATATTTTTAAGACAGTTGCTTAATAATTAATGGCAGCTACTACTGGCATCTCATTATTTAGGCACAGCAGGTTTATAATGACTGCAAAAAAGTTGAAATAGTTTCAGGGTAAAATATACACACGTGAAATGTTTCACCAGATGCTTATATTTTCATTGGTTTAATGCAAAAAAACAAGATCGTGTCTAATGGTCCATAGGGATATAATTAGACGAACATTACTAAATAAATGACAGGGGAAGTCTGGACTCTAGATGATAAAACAGCTGTAGGAGTTTATAGTTCATACAAATGGAGATAATGTAGGCATGCACTGTATTACATTTAGCATGTTTTCATTCCTCCTGTGTTTGTGATTGCAGAGTGGTTTTGAAATATATGTGTTCCTTGATGAAGTACATTGATCTGTAGCAGCATATTGGCAATGTATGAAGATGCAAATTGGCAATTAAAGCATTTAATAATTAATTTACTGTTTTGTATATTGTTGATGGAGCAATTTGATGATTGGCAGTTGTGCAAGCTCATTTGGTGATTTGAGTAAACCACAAATAGATTGTGCATTTTTATTCTTGGTTCTTTCGGTAAAGTCACGTAGAAGGGAAATAATAAAATAATAAAAATAAAACATAATAAAATTAAAATCTCACGACGTTTCGGCCACAACACAAGCAGCCGTCCTCAGGTGAAGAAACAGAACTGTCGGAAAAAAGATTGTGCATTGTATAATGTGGTTTCAGAGGGGAAAAGCGTCCTCTCTCCCGATCCCTCTGTCACGTTATCAAAATCTGCGTGCGAGCAGTCCACAGGCTTAGCCTAAAAAGTATTTTGAACTGTCAGTCTCTATAATCCAATTTATATAGCGAGGCAGCAAAGTTCTGCTTTTGCAACTTGAGGGGTGGCAGGAGACTGCACAGATTGCAGTAATACCAAAGTTTTGAGTAAGTAAAATTCTATAAACAAAAAAAGAACACTATAAAACATTTAAATCAATCATCAACTTCTTATATATAGCCACCTACACTGTAGCACACTGAAGCAGAGATATGCTTTCATAGATTGTCTCAATTACGATTTAAGCCATCAACAGGATTTCATTTTGGATGGCAACCTCCCTTTAAAATCAGCCTGCCATCTGTGCTGAATGTAGCCCGCTAAACTGCTGGAATCTATTTTAGTAAAAACGTTTATCGACGAATGTGTTATTATCACTGGACAGTTACGTACAGTATGCATGATGCATAATCGTGATGATTTGTTTTGATCTAGCGCTCTGTACTCGGGAAGTTCCAGAGTACTCTGCTTAGCATCACATCTCAACGCATTGGACAGGGTACCCCATTAGTGGCAGCTGCCCCTGTGGGCACATCGTGATATAGCACCTGACTTGCAAGTCTGTCAGTAGGAGGTGATGACTGCTAAGTGTAATCCCACTTGAGTAACTTGAGGAACACTTTTGAATTTTGGCAATTTGGGCCCTGACGCCAATACCAAATGGCCTGGTCTCGCGAATGACGTCGGTGAATCTTTAAAAACCACTGTGAAGCAGTTGGCATATATAATCATAGTTATGACGCCTGCAAGCATGGCATAATTTACTCCTCTTGGCCTGCGCATGGTACATG